TCCACTTTGTTAATCTGATTGTTTTGTTAGACTTTCCGAGCAATTTCTTCAACTATATGTTCCTTTTCTTTTAATAAATTTTTCATTTCAGCATTCATGCTTTTCATTTTCTTTTCCTTTTTATTTTTTAATTAATTATTTTTGTTACAGATGTTTCTTTTTCCCCCACTGACACCCCCCTCCTTCTCCCTCCCCACCCTGTCCCCAGCTTTGTTGTCCATATCCATTGTTCATGCATACATACATATAAGTTCTGTGGTTTATCTCCTCCCCCCACCCCCTCTTCTGGGGATTGTCAGTCTGTACCCCACTTCCACGTCTCTGGGACTACCCCATTCCTCAGACTGTTATGTTCATTATATTCCACAAATAAGTGAGATCATATGATACTTATCTTTCTCTGTTTGGCTTGTTTCACTTAGAATAATATTTTCCAGGTCCCTCCATGTCGTCTCAAAGGATAAGAGATCTTTCTTTCTTACAGCTGCATAGTACTCCATTGTGTATATGTACCACAGCTTTTTCATCCATCTGTCTACTGATGAACATTTGGGCTGTTTCCAGATCTTAGCTATTGTAAATAGTGCTGCTACAAACATCGGGGCACATATATTTTTTCTGATTGGTGTTTCAGGCTTCTTAGGGTATATTCCTAGAAGTGGGATCAATGGCAGTTAATTTTTTTATTTTTTGAGGTAACACCATATTGCTTTCCATAGTGGCTGCACCAGTCTGCATTCCTACCAGCAGTGTACTAGAGTCCCCATGTTTTTCATTTTCAATAACTTTTTCTTGTCCTCTGATTTTTTTTTAAATATCTTATTCTTTTTTCCAAGATATTCCTGGTTTTATTATTTATATTTTCTTTGAAGTTTTCAGTTCATTGCACTGTTTCTGTGTTCTTTGAGGGGGTAATTTTCCCTCCGTTTTTCAGTTTTGTTATTTTATAGTAGAGGTTGTCCTAAATTTTTTGTGGTCCTTGGCTGTTCATTTAGATTAAAAACTGACTGGAAGCTCTAGGTGGGTTTCACTAGATGAAGCCAGTGGGGAAATGGCTTTGTCCTTGAGCATCTGTAGGTCTTCTCTTAGGGGTAGTTCACTGCACCCAGAAAAGTTCTTACCAGTATTGCCCCCGGCCAGAGCAAGAGGGTCCATGGCCTTATGCTCCTTGTTTTCAGGGCCTCATTCTGTCCATCCCTTCGAAAGGGAAAGGCGTCCATAGGACCAAGAGTCCATGCCCACCTGGGACCCAAGTCGCTCTCTCTTTAGTTCTCCAGGCAGCCGGGACCACAGAATCCCCTCCCAAATGACCCATATTCCCAAGGCCTATGTGATGATTCTCCTAAGAGTGAAGCCTGCTGCAGCCCTCAGCTGAGAAGAGGCTAAGGAGAGGCTGTTCGCTGGGGAGCAGGGATGGAGTGGAAACAAGTAGTTTCCAGCCACAGGTGGAAGGTAGAAGACCAGAACAGGTCTCTGTGTGGCTGTTATCTTAGAAAGTGAACAAAATGCGGTTTATTCTGAAAACTGCAAAAAGCCAAAACAGGCGAGAAAACCAGGCAAAAATGAAAAGCTTAGATTCAGGGCCTCTCACTTGTACAGACCTCTCCCAAAGCCCTTTCTCTTCTCATGTAATTAAAAATTCATCTTTGTACCTAATTTTATTTTTGTATTATTTTCCTTAAAGATGATTTTAAAATCGCATTAGCTTCACATCCAGAAATCCTGGATCTGCAGCTGAGAGACCAGGTACTATATATTAAAACTGAGAGAGAGAGAGAGAGAGAGAAACCTGGCAAAACAGCTGATTAAAAGCAGCATACTTTTAAAAAATATATGTTTTTATTGATTTTTTTTAGAGAGAGGAAGGGGGAGATAGAAATGTCAATTTGAAAAACACTGATCAGCTGCCTCTTGCACGCCCCCTACTGGGGATAGAGCCTGACACCCAGTCATGTGCCTTGACCAGGAATCGAACCAGGACGTCTCAGTCCATGGGCCAGTGCTCGAGCCACACTGGCCAGGCAGCAGCATACCTTTTTAAAAATCCTAAGAAAAATAGGGGACCTCACAAGAATGGTTGATGTGGTATAGGTTGAAAATTAATCTGACCAAGAAATAATTCAGGAACTAACTTTTAAAGGGCTCCAACATCAATAATAAAAATTTCTCAGAGCTGGTCTATTAAGGAAGCCAGGCCGAGAGAGGTGCTCTGATGTTGGCCATCCTCTCAGATTTGCTGACCCAATCTGAGCTAGTTTCCAGCCTCTGGAAGTAACAAAGCCTGCACTTGCCTAATGCTGCCACCAGGTGGTAGGCGTGGCTTACTCAAACATGATTTTACCACAGCTAAAACACAGAATGTCCCATTTAATTCTCAAACAATTATGAGGTGAGTACTGTTCAGTAACTTGCTCATATAAGATGATAATTTTAACTTGGGGATTGGCAAGATGAGATACATAAAAGTTAATTTTGTCAGCACAAGACGGGAATTGGGAAAAGGCCCATAAAAAAGTGTCTGTCAGCCCTGGCTGGTTTGGCTCAGCAGTTAGAGCATCAGCCTGTGGACCAGAGAGGCCCGGGTTTGGTTCCCACTAAAGGCACGTACCTTGGTTGCAGTTTGTCCCTGGGGGTCGTATTGGTGGCGACCACTCGATGTGTCGACCACTCGATGTGTCTCTCTCACATCAATGTTTGTCTCTCTCTCTCTCTCTCTTCCTTCCTCTGTCCCTCCCACTCTATCTCAAGATAAATGCAAAAGTGTCCTCGGGTGAGGATAAAAATATATATATATATAAAATTTTTTTTAAAAAAAGAAAGTGTCTGTCAGCTTTCCTTCTGTTTCTAGTTGTGCCCTCAATTCTCCCCAAACTACAAATGCACGCATCAGGGTACAGCATGTCTCTGAAACAGTCTGTGTCACACCTGACTGTTTATTAGTCTCTTTCCCCTCTTGGTGTCATCCCTAAGGTGCGGTCTTTGAACGCACATGCTGTTTCTTTCATTTCTGTAGCCCCAGATCCTGTTTGGCACATATAGATGGGAAGCATATGCATGGCCATCTGTCAACAGGAGGAAGGCGCCTGCCTGCCTTCCCCCTCCCACAAGGCTGAGGAGGCGATGAGGGTGAGTGTCGATGGGAAAAAGCCAGCACCACCACCCCCCTCGAAGGGGTCTTAGCACCTACCTAAGGCATGCAAAAGAGAATCTCTCCCCTGCTTCAAGGACCGTGAAGGGAACACCCAGAAAGACATGTTGATGTTGCCTGCACTTGGGACTGCAAAAAAACACAATTTGACTTTCGGTGGCTCTCTGAGATTTGGTGTTAGAAGTAGTTTCAAGGGACATGACATTGCCCTTGATTTTCATATTCTCTTAGAAGCACATATGGCTGAACTTCAGGAGGTGGAAACCAAGGAAGGGACACAGAATCATAAATGCACGAGAAGTCTGAATATGAAACCACCCCACAGAATATACACAATACACGTGTAGCTGGAATCTCTATGAGAACTAGTGCTTTTCGGTTGGCTGGCCGAGGAGGATAGGCCCATATACAGGAGGCAGTGGTGCTGGGTCTTAAAAGAGGTCGAATTTTTAATAAAGTTTGAAATAATAAAACCCCACCTAACCTCCTCTCCCACTGACCTCAGAAACCACGGAGTCAGAGGCCACTCCGTCCACTTAGTTCTGCATACCCAGTGACAGTACAGCAACCCTCGAGAACAGAGCCGCACCTCATCTTCCAAATCTCACAGAGTGCTGGGAACAGTGATAATGAAACAAATCCACTCCGAATCCCCGGGGCTCTGATTAGATCAGACACAGAAGCCTGAGTGGGCATCACCAGCTACACAGTTGGGCAGCAGAGAAATGTGGTGACACTGGCTTTAGAAAGAGGCTGTGGGCAGGTGGGCAGGTGGGCAGGGCTGGAGTTCTGGCTGATGGCCCGGGGTTTTCACTGGACCCTGTGCTCCAGCAGGACTCTGGCAGAGTGGACGTGGGAGTGTACAAGCTCACTCTATGTTGCTCCAGACGACAGGGCGAGACCCGTGGCTAGAAGTTATGGGGAAGCAGATACAAGCTCAAATAGGGAAGAATTTGTGAGCAACTCAGTGGGACAGGTAACTTTGTTAGAGAGTCAGCTTTCTATCACTGGACATATTCTGCTGGAGACTGTAAGAGCACTGGGCACAGGGGGCACACAGACTCCCTAAATCTCCAAAGTTCTTCTTGACTAGGATTTGAAGGCTCTGGGGTGGACGGACCAACAATGTCCAGTGGGCTCGTAGAAGGGAACACAATTGCTCAAATAACACCACCTTCAATGAGTGTCACTTCAGACGCATGAAGAGTCCTCAGTGCATCGACAAACGGGTAGAGGAACGGGGGACAGGGATAGGAAGCAAGAAGGAAGGGGTGGATGATCTGCGCCTTTGATCAGCACATAAATATCCTGGCCAAACTTCTCCTAAGGAACATGGTCTCTCAAGTCACACTCTGGGGCCCTGAGCATAGACCCACCTCCTCTATGTACGTGGGACGGAGAGGGGCACATTCTCACTCCTCAAGATTAGACTGCCTTCCTCCATACGAGGGGATTGAAGAGCACCTGAAGATTGTTTCTAAAGACAAAGTAAGAGCGTGGGAAAATGGCAAAATGGAGGAAGTTAAATATTCCCAGTGAGCTTCATTAAACATGCAGCTCATCTAATTAAAGCTATTATACTTCCAATACAGGTGGAAGCACTGTGGGGCATGGGTGTAGCATTCATGCTGAATTGTCCCACCCCCCCCACCCCCCAAAGCACAAGGGCCAGGGCAGTGCACGGGGAGAGAGGGAGGGGTTAGACGGAGGGGTTAGACGGAGGGGGAAGCCAGCAAGAGGGCTCTCCACCTCCAAGAGGCAAAGAACTCTCCTTGTTCAAAAGACCAAGTTCTGTTGAACCCCATGAGGATCTTAATAAGAATAGAGATAGTTGTAAAAGATAAATTTTAATTTATGCTAAAAGAAAATCTTCGGAGATAACATTCTGATGTTTCTCGGAAGCAGGTAAATCCTGGCATTCTGCATTTTCTTTCAAGACAGGGAGCACCCAAGATCCTACAGACAGGAAACGTGGACACGATAAATCCAAAGACATATGCATCAGGTACACTCCAAAGTTCACCTGTGAACAAACCAGCAACCACAAGCTAGATTATTTTAGCAGTTGAAATCATTCTGTAAATAATGTTCAACTAAAATTAAGTCAGATCTTTAAAGACATGTACTGGGACTTACTATGTCCTGTCACTTAGTAAAATATAGTGGGAGACAAGGAGAATCCTCATTTCAGACACCAAAGATTCTCATTCTGAGGCGTCCTTTCCCAACAGTCACCCCACGTCTCGTTAATGGTGGGCCCATTCTTCTTCCTCCTTCCTTGAGAATATGTGATGCCAGTGAAGTTCTCCAAATTCTCCAGAATGAATATGGAAAATCCCAAATGCAGTCTGCCCACAGTCTGCCACCAATGCCAGTGAGCCAGTAAGAGCCCTTTGGAATATGTGACATGCCCCCAGATCTGTTCATTCCTGAGATAACATCAGTTGGCCACCCCCTCCCCATGTTCCAGGCTCTAGACTAGGGGCTGGGGGCAAATGAATTCCTTCAGATTTGTGCACATGTGTGTGAAGAGTACACAGAAACTCTCTGTGCTCTCTTTGTAATTTTTCGTTAAATTTAAAAATATTCCAAAATTTTAAAAATTAAGAAAGATTTGTGCACATGAGAATTATAGTGATGCTTTGATGCATCACAGTGTTTGTGCCCACCCATCCCCTCTCCTGGCAACCTGCAGGGGGCAGGCTCAAGGTCCTCATATCCCCAGTCGACAGCCTGCCCCGGCTGAGCAGACAGACATGTTGGTGTAACACTCAGGTGCAACACCTCTAAAGACCATCTCTACCCCGTATCTGTAGGGAGATTGTGTCAATCAAATACTGTGAAACAAAAGCCTGGTTTTGGAGCAACACAGGAAACAGTGCAGAAGATTTGACCCTGATTTAACGTGCCAATTTATTATTGGAGAGAGATGAAATATTTGCATTATTTCAGTTAATCTTCAAGAATTGTTCTATGCAGCCTAACTGCTTGACTTCCTGAAATTCTATGCAAACAAAAAGTGCTAACAGACAGTGAGCCTGGAAATAAATCTGTTAGAAGTTTTGCTTTTAAAACGTGGACTCCACATCAACAGCCTTTAGTCATTTTAACCCTCAAGAAGACTTATATGCTTAATGTAGTAAAATTTATTGACTGTTTCTATGCAGCTACTTTATACCACAGGCATTTTACTCTTCATGAGAACTCTGCAGTGAAGAAAACAATGATTCAAAAATAGAACTACTTTACTTATTTACTTCTTATTTATACTCTATGTCTCTTCAACAAGACTCAAGGACATAGAAAGTACACTTAATAAGGGCCCCATAAAAGTGATGATAGGGCCCAGCTGGTGTCGCTCAGTGGTTGAGCATCAACCTATGCACTAAGAGGCCACTGGTTCAATTCCCAGTCAAGGCACATGCCTGGGTTTTGGGGTCAATCCCCAGTAGGGGACATGCAGGAGGCAGCCAATTGATATTGATGCTCCTCTCTCTCATCAATATTTCTCTCTCTCTCTCTCCCTCTCTCTTCCTCTCTCTCTAAAAAACAGTCAATAACAAAATGTTTTAAAGTGAAGATAGGGATGGAAAGGAAAGATAAGATGGTGCCACAGGTGGAGTCGGCACCTTAACGGTGGCCCATCAGCCTTTGCAGGTTTCCCCGATTCTGAAAATTACTCAGCCCTGTTAGAGACATAGTTCTGGGGTAGATTAAACACCAGGACCTTAAAATGAGGTGTTGTATTTTGCAGTCATGCTTACCTTTCTCTCTCGACTCTCTGAAAGCTTTTGGAAAACATCTTGGTTCCGTTGTCCAGTTTGCTGGTCAATGCAAATCATCTGGCATCTGTGACAAGGCCCCAAAACCTGAGAGGTGAGGGCAGATAAGATCATTGCCATGAAAGTGACCAGACCCTCCGACTCTACAGGGAAGACTCTGGGTCCAGATGAATTTTGGGTGTAAAAGGCCATTCCCCGGCCAATTTCAGACTTACACAAAAATGCTCAATAGTCTACTCTTAACTGTAAGGAGCCAGAAAGTGGCGCCTCTTCACAATGCCACGGGGGACCCATCCGTACTTGACTTTCAGCTGAAAGTTGCTGCTTCAGGGCTTTGCAGAGAAACAAGAGCTGTTGTGAATCTCAGGTGGTTATCTGGGAATGCTGGGGATCCTCCAGGAAGAAAAGAACTAAGTGACTGGGGGACAAACTGGGAGAAGATGAACAGCCACAGACCCGTGCTGAGTCTCTATGAGGAAGTCGCCAGAAAGAACCTGAGTGTGTCCCCGTCCTTTGACCCAGCACTTTCACTACTAGGAATTTAACCCAAGAAAAGAATCAGAAATACAAACACAGACTCATGTGCAAGGATAGTGCTCACATTATTTATAATAGGGAAAATCTGGTAGTGTCTTACACACCAAATAGTAGAGAAGAATGGTTAAGTCAACCATGGTACATCCATATAACATATATCATGCAGGTTTTTAAATTAATCTATAAAGGGCTTTAAAAATGGGAGATATTTATTTTTACAGCTGGAATTAAGCAGGAAACAAAATTACATGTGTATTCTTATATGTGTGTGTACATATGTACACAAAACACAGTACACAGCTTCTTAACAGGGGTCATACTTCTATTCTGGATGGTCCTCCATGAGCACAAATTGCTTTTATAGAAAGAAAATCCCCCATAAATGTTAGTACAGTCGTGCCTCGCTACTTCGCGCTTCGACTTTCGCGGCTTCACTCTATCGCGGTTTTTTCAAATATATTCATTAAAAAGTGGATCGAGACAGTGAAAATGATACAGTGCACACTCGGTTGTCTGAGTCAATTATATACCCCTGTATTACAATTAAAATTAAAAGTACTATACATATGGACTGTAGCCCTGTGTATTCGAGCACCCCAGGACTCCTTCAACGCCAGGTGCAACCGCTAGAGCCTGGAATGAATTAACCGCACTAAACGAGAGACAACTGTATATGAAAAAAAGAATGTAGCCCAGTGATGACCAGTAGCTTTTGTGATTGCACACAGGAAAGGTGCAAAGGCACCCAATTTTCTCATAACCATTTTCTCCTATGCTCACACGCAACTAAATGTGGATGTGTCCTGGCCTCTACCTATCGCTCATATTCTGGTTGTTGGGCATTAAACCAGAGAAAATATAACCTCACTGTGGTACCAAAGTCAAGATTCCAGGCCTCATAAGCAGCTGCCGTGCAGTAAAAGGGCTCTGCCCAGTATTTACCTTGGGATACTCAGCAGACCGTGACCTCTACAGACCTCATTTCCCCACCCAGCTCCTTGGCTGGATTTGATAAGGAGTCCAGATGCTATTTCTTAGAAGCCAAGCCCAGGCCTAGCCCTCAGTCATGCTCAAACATGGAAACCATCATTATGATAACATGAGAAGCCCCGAGAGTCAGTTTATACAACTGGCTAATAACCACTATTTTTTTTTTTATCCTCACTTGAGGACATTTTTTCATTTTTTGTTCAGATAGAGTGGGAGGAAGAGAGAGAGAGAGAAACATCGACGTGAAAGGTACACACGGAGTGGCTGCCACCCACACGACCCAACCAGGGCTGGGGACAAACTGCAACTGAAGTACATGCCCCTAAGGGGAACCAAACCCGGGTCTCTGGACCGCAGGCCAACACTCTAATCGCTGAGCCAAACCGGCCAGGGCAACACCACTATTATTAAAGTGATTTCATGCCCCACTAAAGAACTGGGCATATTCTGTGCAGATGACCCATCCCTCTATCCCTAGCTATTCCTTACCTTTCCTGTCCATTCATTACCTCAACAATTGTTGAGCACTGACTCTGGGCCAGGACTGATCTAGGCCCTGGAAGTACAGTAAGGAACAAAACAGACTTGGTCCCCATCCTTGTATGCTTTGAAGGAATAAGCAGGTGCTGTGCAGAGCCTGGCCACGTGGTGGGTCAGAAACATCCTTTCCAAGGAGGAGATATCTGAGCTGAGACCCTGAAGTAGCTGCCAGGCAGAATGTGCCAGGAGAAGGGGCAGCCAGGACAAAGGCCCTGAGGCAGGAAGCTTGCTTATTTAGGGAATGGTGAGAAGGTGGACATGACAGGCAAAGGGGATAAGGTGATGAGCCTGTAGAGTTAGGAAAGGATGATGGGTTCAGGTGTGGGGGATCGTTGGAGGGGGTGCTTTACGCTCCCAAAGCATGGGGAGAGGGGGCATCCCGGTGGCTTTGCCTCTGACTGCAAGTTCCTCCCCAACAAGGCAAGAAGCTGGAGCATGGGGGGAAGTGCAGCAGCCATTGCATCTGGGTCCTCCTCCATGAACTTCAAACAGTCAAAAAAGTCCAACAAGTTCAGCAGGATGAACGTCTCATAGACACAAGCTATCCAAGAAAACAGAATTTAAGCGTAGGCATAATGACGAGGTGGAGGCTACACTGAGCCCTCCATCACCTGTAGCGGGCACACTCTCTCCTCTTCATATGAAACTGACCGTTGCCACACTCGTGGGAAATACGGAATGGATCATTCCAAGGGGCACTGCAAAATGCAGATGTCACACACCCTCCTGCTGAAGTTTTGTAGATGAGAATCAAAGACTGGGAAGGATTCCCATCCTGGCCTAGGATTCCGTCTCCATCAGTGACCCTTGAGAAAGGAGAACAGAACTTCCCAGAACTCACCTGGAAATTCAAGGAACCGATTGAAATCTCATCCCATTTCTCTTCTTCAAAAGCACTTGTTCCGTTGGTAATAATATTGGCACGGAAACGTAAGATGAGATCTTTCATTGGAAATAATTCCTCCTTTCCATTCTCGTCACTGTTGAAGACATACCAAAAAGGGAAAGGGAGGGAAGAGGGGTGGATAATTACACTGTTGTAATAAGTCAATATTTCTACCACTCAAAATCTGCCTTCATCAACTGTCCTCTGGCCTGAGGCCTGGATGATCAGAACATGCTTTTATCATGAGGCCAAGAGACATCCATGTGTTAGATAGATCTCAGTGGTCTCCCTTGGGATATGATCCCACATCGGGGGAGGGCACAGAGTGAGTAAATCTTCATTTGAGACATGAAGTATTTGGGGAACCAGGTCAAGAGAGGTCAAGGAAACGAACTTCTGAGAAAATCCCAATTCTACAAGATGAGTCAGGATAAGACATTCAAAAAGAGTCCAGCTTAATTACCAAAACATCATATTCTTTGGGGATATTAAAACATCATAAAGCAATATGGAGTATATTTGGGGGGTTGATATTTATTTCCTAACTTCCATTCTGTTTGCAATTTTAATTAGCATATGCCATTTTCAATTCTTGTTTAAAGTTTTTGTTTATTGCCTTGGGGTCCTGTAAAATAGGTCTCTGCACCTCCACGTACCCCCCCCCCCCACACACACACACACAAGAGAAAAAGCATCTGAAAAAGCATCTTGACAAAAGAGCACAATGCTTTATCTCATTACATTGAGTTTAAAAACTGGTGAAACTGTCTATGGTGAAGTCAGGACAGTGGGGGGTGGGGGTGGCTAAGAGAGGATGGAGGGAGGTTTCTGAGGTACTGGAGATGTTCTCTACTTGACCTGGGTGGTGGTTGCAAGGTAAATACATCAGCAAAGTTCACTGAGCCATGGACTTAATGATTTTTGCACTTTGTTGTACTTCAACAAAATTATTTTTTAAATTGTTTAAGCTGGGAGAAATCCTTGAGTCTGACTGGAATTTTCCCTGGAGACAGAACTGAAAGGCTCTGGGGGAGGAAGGGGTCCACAGTTGTATCCCCATCCCCTTCATGCACAATCAATGGTGTGCAGAAATCCAGGAGCAGGAGGGCTAAGTCTAGCTTTGCTTCTAACTGTGCAACTCCCATGACCTATGAGGACTAAAATTTCATCAGCTAAAAGAGAGGGAGAGAGAACTAGAAACATCAATGAGAGAGAGCATTGACTGGTCGCCTCCTGCATGCCCCCCACTGGAGACTGGGCCCACAACCTGGGCATGTGCCCTGACCGGGAATGGAACCGGCAACCTCTTGGTGCATGGGTCGACGCTCAGCCACGCAGCCACACCAACCGGGCTGTTCCTCTTACCTTTAATCACCTGCCCCACCTATCCCTGGATTGTCAGCCGTGCCCTAAACCAGCTGGTTGAAAACGTGGTCCCCTCCTGGTAGGAACCAAGGTTGCAGCAAGCCCGTCTCCACCTCCTCTCTTTCTATACCAAGAATCCCAGAAAACCGCAGACCTGCTCTCCCCAGCACTCTGGGTACCTGACAAGGAGGGTCACTCAGTACAGCTAAAACTCAGTGAACACCCGGGGACCAGGCAGCCATGTCACACTCTGCTCCCAAGAAGGGAGCGCTGGGCCCCGGCACAGAAACAACATTGCACGATTTTGCCAATGACTATAAACAGGAATTACTACCAACAGTCTATCTTTGTCACATTTATTAGGCTGTACTTGTATATCTTTGCGAGTGTGCACTCAAATGCACAGGAGCACATGGCATGTGAGAGCCACAGCATCCCTGCCTCACGGTGCTGACAGGCGTGTGCACACCTCTCTGTCCTGTGGACTAGGAATGAGCAGTCCAGCTCTCGCATAACAGTGATTTTTTTTCCCCCTAATTGCCTGATGATCTTGGGACAGCAATTTCCTCTAAAAAAAAACAAAGAGGGGGGTTGGACAACAGAGACCCGTTCTAAAGCGGACCTCTGGTCACAGTCAGGGCCCTTGGGAGAGCCCTGGGCAGGAGTGAACAGGAGGGGTGCAAGTTCTGTCTGAAGGTACAAACAAATATCTACAAGTACAACTTTAAAAGCTTTCGTAGCCACTCTTCTCTTCCCTCGAAAAGACTGTGGAAGTAGAGCAAGGCTCCTAGGGGACAGAAGACAGTGGGAGGGTGGGCAATGTCACTAGATCAAGTTGGTGGCAATTCCATTAAAGCAAGTGTTAAGAAATGGAATGATTAAAAAATGAGAATCGGGGTTTTCTACTCAGCATCTTGAGGGCATCAAGAAGGACATTGGAAGATAAAAAGAGAACCTTAGAAAGGTTAATGGGCCCTGGCCGGTGTGGTTCAGCGAGTGGATAGAGCGTCAGCCCATGCCCAAATGGGTCACGGCTTCAATTCACAGTCAAGGGCAAGTACCTGGATTGCAAGTTCGATCCCTGGCCCCAGTCGGGGAGAGTGCAAGAGGTGACCAATGGATGTGTCTCTCTCACATCAACGCTTCTCTCTGGCTGTCTCTCTTTATTCCCCCCACCCCAACCCTCCCACTCTCTCTAAAAAATATTCAATGGAAAAAAATCCTCAGGTGGGATTAACAACAACAAAAAAAGGTTCATTGGAACTTATCTAAAGGGCTTTGTGATTTCTCTGGTCTGTCTCTTTCTTAATCAATATCCTGGACTCTGTGACTCTAGGGACATTTCTCCCCAAGTAGGTGCCAGGCTCACTTGCTGGGGCAGTGGTTACACCTGTGTGTTAGCCCCGAGGTAAACAGCAAATAGTAAAACCATCTTTCTTACCTGGCTGTTAATTGCTGCTGAAGTTTCAAAATGCTGGATCTGTTTATCAGCAGATACTGGGCCTCATTCACCAGAGAAAGAGTGGCTGTTGTATCAGCAGACTGACCTAAAAGCAATTGAGTATTTAAAAGAAGAGATATAACATCTGGCTGGTGTGGCTCAGTAGTTGAGCGTTGATTCATGCACCAAGAGGTCACTGGTTCAATTCCTGGTCAGGACACATGCCCAGGTTGTGGGCCCAATGCCCAGTGTGGGGCATGCAGGAGGCGGCCAATCAATGTTCTCTCTCATCAGTGTTTCTATCTTTCTCTCCCTCTCCACAATCAATAAAGAAAAAATATTAAAAGAAGAGATGTGGAAACAACCTAAGAGTTCGTGGATGGATGACTAGATAAAGAAGATATACATACAATGGGATATTATTCAGCCATTTGTGACAGCAAGGATGGGCCTAGAGGGCATTCATTTTGTGAAGTGAAATAAGTCAGAGAAAGACAAACACCATATGATCTCACTTATATGTGGACTCTAAAGAACAAAAACTAAAACAATCTTATGGATACAGAGAACAAACTGGTGGTTGCCAGAGGCAAGGGTAAGCAGAATGGGTGACGGGGCGGGGGTCAAAAGGAAAAAACTTTCAGTTATAAAATAAGTAAGTCCTAGAGATATAAGGTACAGCAAGGAAACTATAGTTAATAATACTGTATTGCATATTTGAAGTTGCTAGAAGAATAAATCTTAAAAGTTTTCATTACAAGAAAAAATGTCTGTGGTAACTATGTGTGCTGATGGATGTTAAGTAGACTTATTGTGGTAATTTCACAATATATACAAATATCAAATCCATTATGTTGTATACCCGAAACTAATATGTTATATGTCTATTATACTACAAAAAAATTTTAATAAAATAACATTTAAAATTTTTAAATAAAATAAAAGAAGAGTTGCTTTCTTGAAATGCAAATCAATCATGTTCCATTTATTGACTTGCATGTTTTAAAAATAGAGACTACAGCCCTGGCCCGTTTGGCTCAGCGGTTGGCATGTCGGCCTAAGGACCAAAGAGTCACAGTTTCAATTCTGGTTGCAGTTTGGTCCCTGGCCCTGGTCGGAGTCGTGCAAGAGGCAACCAGTCGATGTGTTTCTCTCACATCAATGTATCTCTCTCTCTCTCTCTCTCTCTCTCTCTCTCTCTCTCTCTTTCCCTCCTTCGCACTCTATCTGAAGAAAAATGGAAAAATATCCTCGGGTGAGGATTAAAAAAAAAAATAGAGACTATTTCTACAACGGGGGAAAAATATGTTGCTCCGGAAATAATACCAGTGTCTTAAGCATGGCTCAAACCTCTCAATACAAAAAGAAAATGAGCTCCTAGAATTCTCTGTTAGTAATCTGAAAAAATAATACTAATAAAATGCTGACGTGAAATGGTTCCAGCAGAGAAGTCTTGGAGGTAACATTCAGAGAGGAGCGATGGGCCGCAGGAGAGTGGGGGCCCTTCCCCAGGACAGCAGGGAATGGCACCTTGTTGAGGGCCACACGCCCAGGAAGCTCTTCTGAATCTCATCAGACAAAAGATGGTTTTTGCCCTTGGGCAAGCATGAAATGTGATTCTCTTAGAAGTATCCGGTGTGGCTTAGTGGACGGAGCATCATCCCATGGACTGGGAGGACCTGGTTCCATTCCAAGTCAGGGCACATGCCCGGGTTGTGGACTCAATCCTCAGTGGGGGTTATGCAGCAAGCAGCCAATTGATGTTTCTCTCTCACCTCGATGTTTTTATCTCTCTCTCTAAAAAAAATCAATAAAAACGTATTTTAAAAAATAAACAATACAAGTTTTAAAACTACTGGAAGGGGGTGGGTGGTGAAAGAAAATATCAAATGTGTCCAGACTGCTGGCAGCCTGTGGCCTAGCTTCCATCGCCCATGTGTGGGACACGTCATCACTGTCTTTACCCAAGATGTTAGAGAAAGGGGTTTGCTGGCCCAAAGACTAGTGAGCTGTCTCCAAACCAGGGCTGAGGACCCTGGACTACGCGAGAATCGATACTTCTAAGACAATCACTTTGCAAACCATCCCCTTCCAAATGTCCTCTTTGCTAAAATGGCTCTGCAGAGAAGAAGGTGCAATCCCAGCCCCTCCACAAAAGGCCTTTCTCCCACTTTGCAGAAAAAAGGCTGCACCTCTCCTTGGGCACTTTGCCCTGGGGGCTAAAAATGTCCAGGGTGGAAAACAAAAGCTCCATTCAAAACCCTTGGGTCTGTGCTGACATTATAGAAGTCTCTAAAGCTTGGGTGAATGATCCTCCTGTAGGTCAGATGGGTTCCAGTTCTTTGCTCTCCACAAAACTGTCACACCTAATTAAGTTGTCAAGTGACATGATTAAAGTCTTCTTAATGTTAGGTCCCTGTGTCTCAGAAAAAAGGTTTGAGTGACAGTGGGTTCACCAAACTCCTTTCATCCCCAGCTCTTTATTCACTCAAGTAAGTTTCTTCAGAAGAGAACCAGTGCTGAACACCAGCTGTTCTGGTCATAGGTGACAGTTATTCATTAATATGGGAATTAATGGTGGGGAGTCCAGCCACCTCGTTAGGAGATTTGTTTTCAACAGTGTTTTCACTATCTTTTGAAATTTGTAATATACTTTTGTTGCTTTGATCAACTGTGTACTATTAAAAATTATGATAACTCAACCTAGAAGAAATTACCTAACACTTAGACTCTTGTGATTACAGTAAACCCTACAAATGTTTATACACTCCAATTTATATAGAATCTTAGTTTCAGATAAATATGATAGGGTGATCAAGGAAAGATTTTCAAGCATAAATCTATGTAACACTAAGATAAAATCCCACTTAGAAAGTAGAGTGGAAATGTAAGATGAAGAAGGAAAAGGAAAGTTTAAAAAGTTCTGACCTTTAAAAGACGGTTTGTGTATATATACAATGAATATTTACGGGAATCAAATTACTATGGTATTGAGATTCCACTGGCTACTGTTTAAGAGGATGATCTATGAATTTTAATTTAAATGACTACATTTATAATATGCTAGAAATTGCCCAGACCTCTACACTCAGGCAGCTGACTCCTCAGCAGGGTGAAAGCCCTGCAGGGTGGGGCAACAGGGAGTCCAGAGGGTGGGGCTACCGCATCCCCCCAGGCTGATGCTGAATGGCGGGGAGCGCTCCACCCAAGAAAGATGGCGTTTGTAGTGTGGGAAAGTGATGCAGCACAGGGATTCTGGCAGCTGTCCCTTCAGCTATCTCCCCAGAGCCACAACCAGTTTCTCCTCTCAGGACTCTGGTCTGCTCCACACTCCCTCTGCTGGAGCCCCGGATGAGTGGCTGCAAATAAGAGTTTGTGTGCTGTCCCTTTAAGAGGGCACCTGTGTCTCTAGCGGACTTTCGCTGGTGAACAAAATCCCAGCTGCTTTTCATAAACAGATGTCACATGGGTGCTTCTTCCCAGCTCTGATGCTCTGGTCTGGGGTTGAGACCCCAGGCTTCTCAGCAGGAACCTTTGCAGCTGAGATATCCCTCCTGAATCTCAGCCACCGCCCATGGTGCTCACAGAGCCAGCCCTTTCCACATCTGCCCTTCCTACCAGCCTCCACGTGGCCTCTTCTGTAAATCCTTGGTTATAAGACTTCTGTTCAGCTGGTCTTCAGTTGGTTATTCAGGTTGATTGTTTTGTAATTTAGGTGTAATTCCAGTTTAGTCCTGGGAGGAGGTGAGTGCACCTTCCACCTCCTCTGCAGCCATCTTAGATTCACCTTTAAACTTCTTTTTAAAATTTAGATGACAACATAAAGATGTATGAGGAGGTAGTATAGCTTTTAAAAAATTCTTCTAAGGTGTATCAACGCAAAAATGTTCAAAGACCTGAGACCTAGACTAGTAGAGACTTCACCTCCATAAGTGGCATCCTTGAAATGGAAATATTCACAAGCTGACAGTCCCTGTACGGGGCAGGCAACTGACTTCTCCCTGTGCCCACCTTCACCTTACCCAGGCCCCCATGTCCCACTAGGACAGTCACAGCCATCTCCTGTCTACCCCTTTCCTTCCCCTCCCTCCCTCTCTGATGCAGCCTCCATACTATGCCAGGAGTATCTTTCTAACACAAGCAGCAGCATGAAACTCCTCAGCTTAGAATTCTTCAGTGAGTTCCCCCAACCACAAGACAGTACTTACTGACTCCTCAGCAGCACATTGATCCCTTCTGCCTAGCTCTGCCCCAATACTCCCCTAGCCACATCCAACCTTCCTAAACCTTTCTCTGAACCCATGAAATGCCTAGCCCTGCAATACTGCTTTCAGGTAAACTTTCCACCTCTCTCTTCCTGGAAAACTCCTACTCGCCTATTAAGATGTAGCTCCAAACTCATCTCTTCTCTGAAGCCCTTCAAGACTCATTCCAGGTGTAGAGATGCCCTTTGCACAGACATTTACTGTAGTGTCAATGTCTTCTGGTGAGTCATTACCTCTAAACTGAGATCCAAAGGACCATGACAATTGCTTAATAAGCTCAGCCAGCCTCCTGAGGACCCAACTAAGTAAGCCCCAGGTAAACAGGAGGCATTATAAGTAATTGGAACTTGTTCAATAAGATCATTTATAAAAGTAGCACAGGTCCTGATGAATCCCATTCCTTGTGTGTCTCTACTTATGAAAATGCCCATTTCTCCCATTTAATCATACCTCTAAGCTAACCCATGCCCAAACACCACCAGCTCAACTCCTAGATAAAACGAGTATAAGTTTATTCTCCTTCTCCACAACATAGCAACTCAAATTCTTTAATAGCTCATGACACGAAAAATTGTCAGAACTTGTAAACATCTAAGTAGATTACATCCTTTGATTCTTCTATCATACATTTTCAGGGATTCATAGAGTCACCTGGGCAGGTCCCAAGACCCTATTACTGGTCCCCATGTGATCAAATTGCTATTTGGGTTTAAAAGCCAGTCTCTCTGAGAGCTAATCACTAGGACAGGTCATCCCTACACAAACCAATAATGTAGCAATGACCCATGCCTTCAGGTATCTAGTATTTAATGAACAACTACTATTTGCCAGGTGCTGTTCTAAGCATGGGGGATGCAGCCCTGAACAAAGCAGACAGAAATCCCTGCCCACACAAAGTTTATGATCTAGTAAGGGAAGGCAGGACACACATACGAGTAGAACAGTAAAATACATAGTCTATAGGATGTGAACAGTGCTACAAAGAAACATAAAACAGTGAAGAGAGCTGGGGATGTTCAGATGAGGGCTTTGGTTCTATAGAGAGAAGTCAGGCAACACTTCCCTAAGAAGACAAAATTTAGCCCTGGCCGGTTTGGCTCAGTGGTTAGAGCATCAGCCTGCGGTCCACAGAGACCCGGGTTCAGTTCCCGCTAAGGGCATGTACCTTGGCTGAAGTTTGTCCCATGCCCTGGTTGGGTCGTGTGGGTGGCGGCCACTCAATGTGTCCCTTTCACATCGATGTTTCTCTCTCTTCCTCTCTCTCCTTCCCGCTCTATCTGAGTAAAAAATGGAAAAATGTCCTTGGGTGAGGATAAAAAAAAAAAAAGAAGACAAAATTTAAAAGACACCTGAAAATGATCTATTCTTTCCCTATAGTACTATTAACTTTCAAATTACTTTCTCCTCTGCTGTCTCATTTCATCCTAAAAACAGCTATGGCAGGAAAACTGTCAAATGTGTACAAGTCTACATAGCTGAGGTCTACAGAAATTGAGACACCAAGGATTTGCCAAAGTCTCAAGCCATTTGGAGATAGAGCCAAAACCAACAGGTTTTCTTAGGACTTAACAAGCTACTGATGTTTTTGTTTAACAAAACAAAATTGTGCTTCTAAATACTCATGGCTGAGGCAGAGCGCTTGAGCAGAGGTGAAGCAGCTGTCTGGGAAGCCACCGGCCTCTGAGGGTTCTCCTGGGGACCACACATAGGTCCTGCTGACCTGGGGCCACCAGGGACTGTTCTGCCGAAGGCAGATCATCCCACTTTCTGTACACGAGCAAGTTGCCCTGTGACTTCATGCACAGGCTGGCTTTGGTGTATGCAAAGGTAAGCCCGAGTTCCTGTGCCCTAAAAACCAATCTGAAATGTGATACCTTTGCTGTGTTTCCTCTTCGCATTTCTTTCAAAGTCCGAACTTTGTTTGATCAACTGACATGGACGGCCCAAACACTTTGACAACCAGCTTGAGACTTTTTCTCCACAATCGTAAGTATTTACCCTGACCAAAAAAAAAAAGGAATGGTGAATATTAGATAGTATTTCTTTAAGTAACCATCCAAGTGGCAAAAAATAATATAATATAATATAATATAATATAATATAATATAAACCATTGAGTCCCCAGCCAGAGGGAAGCCTACAGTGGTGTGCTTAGGAAGCTGAAGGGAGATTTCCAAGGCACATGAGACATGAGATCTGGGGCTGGTGTAAAACTTTTTAAGATCAGATAAAAAGATTTAGAAGTTCCTCTTGAAAGACCTTCTTTATATTAATTATAGCCACTGAGAAACACAAACTTTGGAATTTGAGACTTCCCAAAGCATTAGTTTGCTTTAAGAAGCCCTTGGACCCAGACATGTGTCTTTGTTTTTTACTACGTAATATTAACGTAATATTTTCTCACAGCCGGACTGCGTGGACTGACATGCTTGGTTTGTGCAAAAACCACTATGCCTATAATGTAAGTACATTTATTGATATGGTTTTTTAAAAACTCTGCTATCTTCTAGAATTTTTAAACAGAATTCCAAATTTAAATTTTTTTACTTATTTAAAAAAATTTTAATCTGTACATCACCAAAATTTATAAGGAAAACTTCAAATATCTTATAGTGGGATTATAAGACAGATATTATTGAAAACCTATCTTATCCTTAATTTTTACTGAGAAAAAATAGTTGCCTTTCTTATCTAGAAGGGGAAGAGAAGAATGAAACCTTATTTTGTAGCACATTCTCTCTGGTGCTTTGAGAGATTGCACCAACTTCCATTTTCATTATATCAAGTACTCACGGCTTCGAGCATAAGGAACCTAACCTCTAGCTATCTGAAAAGATTTATTAAGCAGAAAATCACATCCCTCTCAGATGCAGGTAAATGAATGTACAACCAGAAACGAGCCGGATAAGTAACTGCAGGTGTTCCTAACTGGCTATATTTCTATGAGAAGATCTACAATAGTGACATGCAAAAATGTTTACACAAAATTCATTGCCCTCATCTGATGTGCCACAGTGAATGTTTATTGGCACAAGTACTGGTGAAAGGATGCACACACACAGTGCTCAATACTTGGTCCCCAGGATGGCACGATGCCCATGATGCCCAGTGATGCCCAGCAGGATCATCACACTAAACCTTGACACCTTTCCTGAGGGAATAGCCCTTCATCATTCCAGTGAGACCCAGGGACCCTAAAAATTTTAGCCCAATTTAGACACAGGTTTATTATTTAACATAGTTTATGACTTACATGATATTAAGGCAAGCAGAAGTAAATGTAATCAGAGTCCATACTGTGCAGTATGGAGGTCTACTCAGCACAAATACCCACTAATGAGCATATTGGGCCAACTAATAGGCAATTGGCATTTTTGAAGCCTTACTGAACTGTTACAGTTAACTGTTTTAGTATTTGGAGAGTAAACTAGTTCAGGTATCAGATGGACTGGGAACCTACTGGATAGGTTCCCACAATCAGAAAAGTTGCTATTGCACATGTTTTGGGGTCCAGACTAGATTTACATACATTTATAATATATTCAATGAATAGATTTATAAACATTCACAATCAAGAAATAAAATAAAAATGCTATTATTATGTTCAACCTCACTATCTACATTTCCTAGAATTTGGCAGATGATTTATTATCAGTAACTCAGATTAGGTAATAATCCACAACTACTTGAGATATAATTTATAGGTTATCACCTGAAAATTATACAACCTGAAGACATGACACCCCCCTCACCCTTAGGCTCCACATCCAATCCATCAGCTAGTTAAGGTGAATCTACTTCCAGAATATATATCTGACACCCACATGATTTTCTCCCTGACCCTGGCCCAAGCCTCCATCTTGCCTCAGCTGGCCTTCCCAATTGGACCCTCACCCCCTTCTGACTATTCCATACCCATAAACCCATCTTTTCAAAATATGACTCAGGTCCCCACTCACCACTCCAAGGCAGCCACCCCCTCTGACTGTTCCTCGCTCACCCCGCCTCCCCCACCCCGTGCTGTTCCAGGCTCTGCAGGAAGCAACACAGACTGAATCCTGCCCTCTCAAATCAGAATTCTGGTAGGAGGGACTAAAGGCAAACACTGGGAAATAGTAAGTGCAGAGGAGACACGTGCAGCAGGGCAAGCAGAGGGGGAGGGGCTGCGGGAACAAAGGTTAGAGACAAACACATCATCAAGAAAGGGGCCTTTCGGCAGAGAAGAGCAGTGATATTGATGGAGGTGAGGGAGCGAGCTGAGCCTGTGGGGGTGGAAATGGGAAGAGCATTCCAAGCAGAAGAAGGAGTGGGTGCAAAGTCCTGAGAAGGGAGCATGCTTGGTAGGTCCGAAGAGCAGCGAGGAGCCCGTGTGGGGAAAGGAATACACCAGGGAGCGGCAGCCGATGGGATGGAGACAAGCTGAGGACTGGCCCCCTCCGGCCACCCGGTAGAGGGACCTGAAATTTTCACCTGCCACAGAGTCTCACCTGTCTGTACAGACTTTGCTTTGGCAAATCTGAGCCCGTTCACCATTTTCCTCAAGAGGCACCTCAATAGGCTCCATTCCTGAGGAACAAAGGTTAGAGACAAATATATCATCAAGCAAAAAGAACAACTATGTAAGTCAGAGTCCATCACTATGAAATATACAGGAATCTTAATGACCCTGGAAATCGGTTGAATCAAACAAGGGCCTTAGAAATCTCTTTATAACAGAGATTCTCGTCAGCGTGATCAGTATCAACAGAGTGTGCGTCAAACAGCTTTGTCAGGTGCAGAAAAAGCATTCAGTAAGAACTATTATTCGTGATAAAGCTTTTGGCTAAAGAAGAAAAGAACTATTTTTAAGAATTTTAACTTGTCTATTTTTTTTAGAAGTTTAGGTAGCTTAGAGAACAATGTCTCCTCTAGACATTATTTCACTTTCGGATTATTTTAATATTTGGTAGAAGAAAAGCCATTATCTTACTTTCATTTAGTAGAAAAGCTACTCTTGACAGCTACATTGTGAAAATGAATCCCGTTTTCATACCTTTGGCTTTAATGACCATGATCCTTTGCTGCAGGTCAATGAAGGGCTGGATCAGGCAGAGCCGGGGCTCCTGCTTCTGACTCAGGCATATGCCATTGTGATTCACAACCATCCAGCTCCGGTCGTACAGCAGTCCATGTCTTCCCACAGGCCACTTGGTCACCTAAACAAAAAGATAAGCACAGTTTAGGTCAGGGCTCCTCAAAATGACCTTCACAGCCCAGCCAGTGTGGTTCAGTGGATTGAGCATCGTCCCATGGACTTAGGTCCTGGTTTGATTTCCAGTCAGGGCACAGGCCCGGGGTTATGGGCTCGCTCCCCAATAGGGGACATGCGGGAGGCGGCCAATAAATGTTTCTATCTCTCTCTCCCTTCCTCTCTCTCTAAAAAAATCAATAAAAACATATTTTATTTTATTTTTTTATCCTCACCCAAGGACATTTTTCGATATTTTGTTCAGAGTGGGAGGGGGAGAGAGAGAGAGAGAGAAACATCAACGTGAAAGGGACACATGGAGTGGCTGCCACCCACATGACCCAACCAGGGCTGGGGACAAACTGTAACCAAGGTACGCGCCCCTAGCGGGAACCGAAACCAGGTCTCTCTGGACCACAGGCCAACGCTCTAACCGCTGAGCCAAACCGGACAAGGCCAATAAAAACATTTTTTTTAAAATGACCTTCACATTATTGCATAGTAGCTGCACTAATACAGATGGGCTTCAGGAATTCAGCGCATACTCTTTAAGGAAGAAAGGGAAGAAGAGAAGAAAGTAAAACAAAGGAGACAGTGTAGGACCTAGATCCCTACCATTCACCCTGCAGATCTACTTTCTACCCTTCTCAACTTCCACCTGTGTTTTCTGGTTTTGCTTTTTTTAATCCTCACCCGAGGACATTTTTCCATTTTTTTTGTTGTTGTTGTTCAGATAGAGTGGGGAGGGAGAGAGAGAGAGAGAAACATCAATGTAAAAGGGACACATTGAGTGACTGCCACCCGCACGACCCAACCAGGGCCGGGGACAAACTACAACCAAGGTACATGCCCTTAGTGGGAACCGAACCCGGGTCTCTCTGGACCGCAGGCCAACGCTCTACCGCTGAGCTAAACTGGCCAGGGCTCCACCTGTGTTTTAAGTGGGTAATGCATGTGCACGGTACAACATTCAGAGAGAACAAGGGTTCACCAGCCTCCCAGCTCCCCTCCCCACAGTCTCCATCACTCCTGTTTTCTGTATTCCTGCCACAGTGGTGGCTATCGGGACAGGCAGATCCTGATACTAGAGACGTATTTCTTGCACAACTTGTGGCTACATTGAAATGGTCACAGTTGATCCACATCAAGTGTGACAGTTTTCCTACATTTTCCTATTCCTACAAAATTTAAATATAAATGACACCCAGTGCATTTTAATACCATTCTGCAGTAAAAAGAACCAGGACTCCTTGGAGAAACAGGTGAGTCTAGAGATGGGTCAGGGAACATACGAGATGAGCCAGGAGGAGCACCTTGTAGTTCCAGAAAAGAAAGGTAGAGCTCAAAAATAATGTCAACGGGATGCAGAAGTCAACCCAAAGCCTTCCCGCTGGCCAAAATCAGAACAATCTGAGTAACAATGATGTAGTATTGGATTACAACCCAAAGTATAAAATAAATATCCGTGAGTCCATATTGATATAAATAATTGACTAAATAAATAAAGGAGAAAAGTCATCTATAAAAACTCATATAGAAGAATCCCAGAACAATTGAGTAGCTACTCCTCCTTCAAGAGGGTGGAGCAGCCCTGGCCAGTTTGGCTCAGCAGTTAGAGCATCGACCTGTGGTCCAGAGAGACCGGGGTTCGGTTCCCACTAAGGGCGTGTACCTCAGTTGCAGTTTGTCTCCGGCCCTGGTTGGTCATGCGAGTGGCAGTCACTTGATGTGTCCTTTTCATGTCGATGTTTCTCTCTCTCTCTCTCTTCCTCTCTCCCCCTCCCACTCTATCTGAACAAAAAAAAAAAAGGAAAAATGTCCTCAGGTGAGGATAAAAAAAAAAAGAGGGTGGAGCATAACTCCGAACCCCTTAAGGCTGGGCTATTCTTAGTGACTTGTTTCCAAAGACTACAGTATGGAAATGGTGGAGGGGAAACTTTAAAGTGAAGAAACTTGGCAAGCACCATCTCAACCAGATGGTCTAGGTTAACATCAGTAGTGACAAGTCATGTTGATCATATGTACCTGAAATGCTATGATGAGAATAGCACTTTATCTCTGTGGTCCTCCTTCCAAAAGACCCATAACCCCAGTCTAATCATGAGAAAGACATCAGACAAACCCAAAGTGAGGAACATTCCAAAACCACCTGATCAGTACTCCTTAAAACTGTTAAGTGCTGTGGATCTTTAGGTGGCCCCTCCTGGACCCATGCCGCCACCCTCACCCCCACCCCCACCTTGAGTGGGATGCGGGCCATGGTACCCACAATTCTCCTCTCCTGATCTGAGGGAGACAGCTAGGACAGACGTTCACAGATCCTTCTGGCGTCTGTGAATTGGCCAAAGATCATGGGCCTCAGAACATGACTCAGGCCCCAGTCCTGGCCAACTCAGGCTGGCATCCATGTCTCAACTCTCATTTGTTGATAGCACCATGGTCCACTGTCAGATGACGCCAGAGACCATTAATGGCCTCTTTTCATTCTTCATCTTACTCAGCAGCATTTAGACAACTGACTACTTGCCTAATTCCAACACTCTGACTCCTCTCCCCTCCCAGGGCTCCACCTCACTGCTACTCCTCTGTCTCCTCTGCCCGCTCCTCCTCTCCTCGGACCTGCAAACGTTAGGCTGCTCCTAGGCTCCATCCAGGCCCTTTCTTCTCTACGCACGCTCTCCTGTGTCATTCCATCCATGCCCCAGACAAGTCGCTCTTTAGCTCCAGCCCAGCCCTCCCTCTGAGAGTCAGACTCATGCACCCACAGGCACCTCGGACATTCCCTGTGTAACACTGAGCTCCTGGTTACTCCTCAGGACTGCCCCTCCCCTAGGCTTCCCCATTTCATCAGCAACATCACTATGGACCCAGCAGCTCCAGCCCTCCTACATTCCTCCTTCACCCTCACACCCCACATCCAACCCATCGACTCTCCCATCAAGACATTTCTTGACCTTTTTTATTTCTTTTCACCTCTGCTGCCATCACTTTAGTCAGGGGTCAGCAAACTATGGCCCACAGACCACATTCACCCCACGGCCTGTTTTTATAGGTCTTTGTTGAAACCCAGGTGTGCTCGTTCATTAATGTATAGTCTATGACTCAGAAGAGCTGAGTAGTTACAAGAGACTGCACGGCCTGCAAAGTCTAGAGTGGTCACTGTGGCCCTGACCACTAAATAATATTGGCTTTCATATAATCCACTACCATGTCTTGCTGCACTGCTGGTAAGATCTTACTAAAACAAAAATGAGATCAAGGAACTTCTTTACTAAAACTCCTTCAATTGCTTCCCCATCCACTTAGAATAAAATTGCTAAACTATGCAGCCCTGTGTAATCTAACCACGCCCACCACATCTCACAACACCTGCCCTCCTCGCCACTCCCCACTCTTTGGTCAATTGTCCTTCTTTAAGTCCCTCCAAGAGACCAGGCTCTTTCTCACCTCAGGGTCTCCTCACCTGCTGCTCCCTCTGCCTGGGATGCTCCCCGACCCCTTGCTGTATGCCTCACTCCCAGGTGTCAGGTTAAATGTTCCCTGCTCAAGAAGCTTTTCCTGCCACCCCCAAACACAATCCAAGTACCCCAGTGCAACTGACTAAGTGTTTGTGTCCCCCCAAATTCATACACTAAAATTCTAACCCCCAATGTGAAGTTACTAGGAGGTAGAGCCTTTGGGGGGTGTTTAGGTCACAAGGGTGGAGCTCTCATAAATGGGATTAGTGCCCTTCTGAAAAAGACTTGAGAAAATTCCCTCATCCCTGCTGCCACTTGAGAACACAGAATGAAGGCAACTGTCTATGAACCAGAATGTGAGTCCTCACCAGGCAACAAATCTGCCAGTGCCGTGAGGTTGGATTTCCAGCTGCCAGACTGGAAATCATTTCTGCTGTTTATTAGCCACCCAGTTGATGGTACTCTGCTAAGCAGCCTGAATGGACTAAGGCACCCACCCACCAGAATTCTCTCTGGCACACCCCACCTTTACCTTCTTGGACTTTATCAGCAGTGCGATTCCATTCATCTGGGCGATGTTTGGTCTTGTGTCTGTTTCCTTTCTGAGACATCACCTCCCTGAGGGGAGGAACTATTTCCATTTTGCTCATCACTGTACACCAGGCTCTGGCCCGCAGCCTGGCAGGTAGCAGGTGTTCAGTATGTAGTTTTTGAATGAGCGGATGCATGGAAGACCTCCAGCAATGTATGAAACCCTACTGAGACTCAGTGTCCTCATCTGTAAAATGGAATACTAATTCTTGCCCATGCTACCTGTGTAATGTCACTGTCCTACAGAATATGCCCCATCTGTGTACACAGAGTCCTGATGTGCAAGGGAAACACGGATTCCTCACCTGCCTCCATTTGGAAATGGAGTTGAACTTGCTTGTTTATGGCCTCAGACTGGAGGGCAGACTTCTGTGGGACCACCATGAATGCAGGTGACAAACAGCCCTGACCACGGTATATCTGACCAAAAGCCAGAAAGCCTGTCACCCACGAGGCTCGGGAGTCTGGACCTTTGCCTGGAACTTGGGACACACATCGATTATAAAGACAGCCTCACTTTGACCACAGCAGGGTGGTGCCAAGGCAGGCACTTCAGTCTCTCAGCTCAGGCGACCTCCCAGCCAGCTGGTTTTAAGACATAACATTGTTCACATCCATGGGGAGGGCTGAGGGGAACAAGTCACATAAGAGCATAGACCCAAGGAGCCAGCAGACCTGGGTTCAAACCTGTTCTGTCCTTTATTAGCAGGCGACCTGGGTCAAATGCTTCACCTCAGTATCCCGCAGGCTCCATATCTATAAAGTAGGGATGATGTTCCCATGCACCTCATATTATTGTCTTAAGAACTGAATGAGCCTGGCCGGTTTGGCTCAGCGGTTAGAGCGTCAGCCTGCGGTCCAGAGAGACCCGGGTTCGGTTCCCGCTAAGGGCACGTACTTCGGTTGCAGTTTGTCCCCGGCCCTGGTTGGTCGTGCGGGTGGCAGCCACTCGATGTGTCCCTTCACGTCGATGTTTCTCTCTCTCTCCCTTCCTCTCTCTCCCTCCCACTCTATCTGTACAAAAAATGGAAAAATATCCTCGGGTGAGGATAAAAAAAAAAGAACTGAATGAAACAAAGCACATAAAAAGCTTCAGTAGGGAACCAGGCCATGCATTCAGTGAGTTATATCCACAATCATTAACAGTAACTAGGTGTCCACCACTCAGAAACAGGGTCCTCCCATGGGTCCCCACAGCAGAGCAGCATCCAGAGGTCAGCCCAAACCAAGAATGGCAGACTGGGAATGGTTCCTCATATGTCACAATACTCTGACCTTCAGTGGGATTTTCTGCATGTTTTTCTTCACTTTCTGTACTTTTTTTCTTTACTTTGTCCAAAAAAATTATATAAACAAAAAGGAAGCACTCTCCATTCTGCCATTAGACCCTTACCTCAAACGCAGCACAGGATTTGATCGGGTAGAGGAAAAGGTTGGTGATGACATGCGGCCCAAGGTCCCCATCCGGGACTGCTGCAGCTTTCTCCGAAGGGGTCTGCAGGGTCCTGGTGGCCTCCGGCAGACGTGGGCGCAAATGCACAGCAGTGAGCAAGTCATTGCCAACCCCGGAGGCTGTGGGAGTGTCTTCCCGAGGTGACGGACTCCGTCTGTCCAAGGTGGTGGGCAAGGTGTTCTGAGCCTCACTCTCTGCCGGAGTGGCTCCCGCCTCCTTGGGGGTGGCCTGAGGGACAGGCTGGCTACTTGGTGGGCGCAGGCGGGTTGCTACGATGAACTTGAGAAAGGCCTGGGCATCCTCAAGGGTAGACATGTATCCAAATGAAATCCTCACAGACCCTGTAGGCTGCCCATCTATGAGGTCCACATCATCTCCACAGACATGACCAGCCTAGAGAAAAGGGAACTAAGTCAACCTCTCCTCACAGATAAATTGGAAACAATTTTGTAAAACAAATGTTCGTGTTGCAGAACAGAATCGCAACTCTAGTATGTGCTGAGTGCCCGAGACACAGTTCTGCAAGCACAGGGGCTCACTTTCCAGATCTCACTTTGCTTGAGTGTAAATTGAGGTCGACACCAATCTTAAGGAGTCACTCAAAGCTTAAACAAGATGCTTCATGGAAAGCATTTACCCAGAGCTATGCACAGAGCCAGCTCACAGAGAGAGGGATCAAAAGATAGCCCAAAGCTTCAGAAGGGCCGAGAGGTCAACTTCATGGTCTACGCAGGGCTGAGGTGGGAGAGCCTCTCTCGGGACCAAAGGGAGGCCTGGATTCCTGAGAGCTGCCCATGGACAGCAGGGCAAGACAGAGATGCTGCCCTTTGACGCCCCATCCTGAGGCCACTACGAAAGCCAAAGGAAGCTTGAGTGTCCCTGTTGGGTGGTGGGAAAAGAAAGGTCAGCGGTCCCCATGTCTCTCCAAGTTCAGCTACCGATCTTGGTCACTGCCTGGGACACCTTCCTCCCGCAGCACTAAATCCAGGTCAGTCATCCAAAGAGATGGGGCCACGGTACTCCATAGGATCAAATATTGTGTCTGGAACTTCCTTGTTTGAGTTCTGAGTCTCCCTCTCTCTCTTTTTAAATGACACCCAGTCCATGATTGGTTGGGAGCTAGTAGATATAATATTAGTGGCAACCAAAAGAAACTCAAGTTAGAAACTATTCCAAAATAAAGAAGGACTCTTTGCCACTCAAACTGTTCTTGTGAAATGGTTTGAAACAGGCCATACCTTGAAGTAAAAACCTCAGCCCAGGGGAAGGCAGGGGAGGAGGGGATTCTGAGAGATGTGGGGTGCCCCTGAAGGTTCCTCTCCTCCCCCAGCACGGAGACCAGCTAACTCTTACTTGGAGATTTTTACCCTGACCGGACTGAGCTAATTAAGGGCCCTGTGCGTGTCTGAGCACATCCCCACGCATGCTTGCCTTGTGTTATAACCTCTCTTCAGCCTTTAAGTTTTTGCCGTCAAAGTAAAAAATGACTTTCATAGAGATACTATCTTGAAGCATTTTCCATTTTTGTCAACCCCTTTTCCTTTGTACATCCAACGGGTGAGTTTAGAAAAATGAACCAGCCCCCACCCCAGACAAGTGGCCAGCCTCCAGTGTTGTTGGAGGCACCACAACGGGCTATTGCTGGCAAGCATTTGGGCCACAGGGCCCGATACCAACCTGAAGATGCTTCTTGACCATCTCACTGCTTATCCCCAGGTGTCTCTGGCAGGCCCCGGTGTTGCAGAAGCAGCCAGTTCGCACTTGGATGTTGTAAAGACTGGCCATTTTTTCCACCTGCGGGTTTAACGTGATATGGAACTAGTGTTAGGAAAGTTTGGTTTACTCTAATTGTCCGGGACAATTTCAGATCAATGTTTGGACATCTCTCTCCTAACAATAAAATGAAACCATGAGCCTGCCATTTTGCTCTACAGTGCCATGAGTTTACTAAACACATTTTATACAATGTTACTGATAATTAAAGTTTATCCAGTTGAAATATACATGTATGCCTGAGAAAAGAAAAAACATCACCCTGGCCAGGTAGTTCAGTTAGTTAGAGCATCGTCCTGATACAACAAGGTTGTGGGTTTGATCCCCAGGCAAGGCATATACAAGCAACTAATAAATGCATACATAAGTGGAACAACAAATCAATCTCTCTCTCAAATCAACAATCACTAAACAAGCAAGCTCTACTTTCCTTTTTTTTTTTTTAGAAAATATTAAATTCAGGCCAAAATTCCAAGTTAGGGTCCACATATTTCAAGCAAGACTAGTAAGTACAAAATCAGAGTGTGGCAGGCACTGGGGCACCTCCTTGGTGTCCTCGGCCACAAGGTTGACCACGGAGCAGCCCCAGCTGAGCTACCACTGAGCAGCCCCACCAGGGCTCACAGCCTGGACTACAAACACTACTGTGTTGACACTGTGTGTTATCAATTTGCTTTTCATCAAGTCCTAACTTTGGGCTGACTCACAGAATTGCTGTTCAATCCGGAAGTCCCAAGGTTCTTTCCTATACCCGGGAAGCTCTGGGAAGTGAATCGCATTCACTCAAGGCACAAAGGTAGGGTTAGCCTGGGGGATATTTGTCCCAGCTCTTCTGGCTGTGGGTCCAGGGCTCCATTCCTCCAAGGACCTGCAGGCCTGGTGGCTCAGGTTAAACTCAGGGGAGTCACCAAACAGCATTCAGTGAAACAAATACATCTTGACCAGCAGGGTAAGCCGCTGAAATGTTTCTCCCTGGGGAGTCACAGGTGGAGTTGCCAGAGGCAGCCACGGGGCTACGGTGCCATCTGCAGACCACAGGTCGCCATGCGGTCAGCCTGGGCCCTGGCTAGGCAGTGCCTGGCGACGGTGCCTACCTTGTCAAAACCATGGTTATCTCCCCTGGACTGTCAGAATGAGAAGAAGCTACTCTCTGGGCTGAACTAAGACGCCTCTGGAAAACAACTCTGCTCTTTCACCCTTGGCAAATAGCTCCGTGATATGGAGATCTGATCATGAAATCTCAGGACTTCCTGACAATCTGAGATGAGACCTGGCAGCTCCACGGGGTCTGGCCAACTCCACGTCCAGAGTCAGGTGGTCTCCATTCACAGGGCACCTCCTAGGGAAGCCCCTTACTCCCCCACCCCAACTCCCAGCAAGCTGCATTAGAAGTCACCCATGGCACCCTGCTTGCAAAACAAGCCACACAAAACTTGGTGGCATGAAATAGTAACCATTGTATTGTGCTCACCGCATCGGTGGGTCAGGAATTCAGAAAGGGCACTGAGGAGGTGACTTGACTCTGTTTCATGATTTCTCAAGTCTCGGCTGGGAGGGCTCAAAGGCTGGGAGTGAGGTGGCGTCTGGGGTTGAAATCATCTGGAGACTGACTTACTCATGTGAGTGTCTGGCCTCCCCAACCAGGCAGGCTCAAAACAGTACTGCCACCAGCGTGCCTGCACCCGGCCTCTCCCCGTGGGTCGGCTTCCTCACAGCATAACAGCCTCGGGGTAGAAGTTCTTACACGGGGCTCCAAGTGAGTGACCCAGGAACAACGCCGACACGGCACCACTCTCTCTGACCTAGCCTCCAAAGCCATGTAACGTCACCCATGGCATTCTGTTGGTTATGAGCAAGTCGTAAACCCACCAAGATTCGAGGGGAAGACAGGGACTCCACCTAGAAGAGGATGTAGGTAGAAGATGCTGTTTTGACCACACTTCCCATCATCCTAATTTCCTATGATGACTGAAGTTTCCTTTCACTCTCAACCCTGCTGAATCCCTCACAGGCCCCGCATATGCCCAGCTAGGTGAAGAAGTTGGTTGCTGTGATTGGATGAGCCCTGCATCCAGGGAGGGTGAGGAACCAGTCTGACCGCAGGGCAGCACCGGACACTCCCTGCTCAGGAGCCTTTGTGCTCAATGTTGAGTGAGCACTTGCTTCATCCCAGGCCTGGTGCTAAGGGGTTGTATGTTGTATTTCATTTAATCCTCATAACAACACTATCAGCAAGGTGCGTGGTTATCCTCACTTATAGGCTTGGAGAGTTTAAATTAACTTGCTCAAGCTCACAGAACCAGCAAGAGGCAGTCAAAATCTGAACCCACACACTCTTAACCACTGTGTAGAGTGGTTTAAGAGCATGAAATTGGGAGGCCTGAACATCAAACAAGAACCCACAGGCTTCTCATAGCAGGCTAATCCTCTTACACATCCCTGGGCAGCCACTCTAGCTCCCTGGCGGCTCCTCTTCCTTGAGACACCTCTGAGCAAATGAGGAACCCGCTCCCTGCGCCACCTGCCGCAGCACACTCCCCACTGTCTTCCTCCACCCTTCAGGAACACAGACTGATTTTAGGTTGAAGAATAAAACTTATTTACCAATGACCTAGAATAACATGTTTAAGAAGGCAAACCTCTGTCTCGATACATTTTTCGCACACCCCAAAATTCAAATGCCATCTTCTGGGTGTGTGGGGGCTGCTTCTGCAGGAGTGTGAGAAAGGGGTTCTAGGGGAGTCTGCAGTTAAACAACCCAAGGAACCATCGATGGTTGTAGAGTGTAAGCCCCCAACACCAGTGAAACCCCAGAAGAATATTTCTCAAGTTCATCCCGCAGAAAGTTTGTGGCTATCCAGAAGAGGAGAAATGATTTCTTGAGAGATGAATTTCGGTTGAGAACCCTGGGGTTTAACAAAGGTGCATGGGGATAGTGGTTTTCAAGGGAAGAAGAGAACCATCTTCCCAACTTATCTGATGATCAAATCTGTTCCTCACAGAGCAGTTGTAGGGACCCAGGCTCCGGGAGGGACCTTGGGCTCCCCATGCCCAGTCTGTGACAATCTATCCAGTGACCACCTACTGACCGCTTGGTGTGACTTGGCACTGACCAGCTTACTCACCTGTGGCCAGAATGCAAGCAGTTCCCAACCTACAAACTACTATTAGCACTGTTTTCATGAGGATATAGATACAAAGGGTATACCTGCAGAAACTTCATAACCAACCTGCCAACTCCTTTGAACTCGTAACTATGCATGAACTGTGGCAGAAATAAGGGCTTTTGTGATATTAAGGATGTTGTTCCTACTTGTCATTAAAAAAAAAGAGAGAGTTCTGAGCTGCAAGCAACGTGCAAACAAATGGTGGGAACAGGCCCATGATTCTTTGTGACACTGTGATATACTTTCATGTATCACTGGGGCTACCAAGCTGTCCGTACATAAGATGACCTGAGACATGGTGTTCAGTCTACACCGCTTTTCTGTCTACACTATTTTAACGTGTCTTCCCTTGCTCGCCGCTCTCAACTGTCCCTTTCCACTGCTATCAGAGACTCGCCTCTCTCTTCCCACTTGAATTTACTATTTCTGGCCGAATAAAAAGGGCTGAAGAACTAAACAGCCATATATAAATGATTATAAGGAGCCTCTTAAGAAGGGCCTCTGCAACCATCCCTGGGCTTCATCGCAGCCACTGCAAAGGTCCAGGGCCTGGACTGTCCATTTCAGGGTTGGAGAGGCTGCAGAATTCCAGACAAGAACAATTCTGTTGTGAACAGGTTGGCAAGATGGAAAGAAAACCCACCTGGGAGTAACCAACGATGTTCCCCTTGTCGTCGAGCACATTGAAATTGATGATTGGACCCTGGACCTCTGGGCTGCTGAACTCAGAGTCTCTGTAAATCCGTACCACAGGGGCTCCATTGGGGTACTGGAGAGAGGACAGGGCAGTGTAGGTGTACTGAGCCAAGGTAAAGGTGTGCTGCTTTATATTCTCCATTCCACCTCAAAAACAATGGTAAAACATCAAAGAAAAGTATTAACTTTATACAAAATTCACTCACTCATTTTTTAAAATATTTTTTTTAGAGAGAGAGGACAGGAAAGAGAGAGAGAAGGAGAGAGAGAGAAAGAGAAACATCAATGAGAGAGGACTTCAATTGGCTGCCTCCTGCATGCCCCCCACTGGGGATTGGGGCCACAACCTGGGCATGTACCCTGACCGGGAATTGCACCAGCAACCTCTTGGTGCATGGATGGATGCTCAACCACTGAGCCACACCAGCTGGCCATTCACTCATTTTTAAGAAAACAAGAGCATTATAACTGGCAAGCTTGGACCAGATATTAATGATTTTATATACTTGTAAATATTTGGTACCGTTCCTACAATAAACATTCAGGTCTTTGATACTAAACAAGTTTACCATTGCTGAATTTTCCCATAGGAATTTTTGTCATCCTCTTTTCTCTCTCTCTCTCTCTCTTATTTAAATAACATTGCTTAAGCATTTACCACAATCTTTAAAAAACAGAACAATTAAGTTGGAAAAATCAGGGTTCGTTTTATTGGAAAACTGATATTGTCATTCAGCTATCTAACGTGCCCCTGGCCCTGTCAGACCCTGCCACTTGTGTTTTGGGTACCCTGTTAATACCTTTCTTTGGGAAAGTGCTCATTTTTCAGTCTGTCTTGATTCTCTTGTCTTTGTCCTGAATGATACCCACTCACCTCCCTGCAGGGCACCTCTCTCTTCCCACGAGTCCTGTCCGCCTCCAGTGTTGAGCTAAGGCTGAGGACCTGTGGGGTCCCATTATTGTAACAAAAGGGAGAGAGAAAGGGCTGCCCAACCACTAAGCCACGCTGCAGGGCCATCTCCACATGATGGGACAAGCAGCGCCACCCAGTTCTGGAAGCTCAGCCTCTAGAAGGAGCACCCAGGAGCACGGCAGGATGGTGAATGCCCGGCTCACCAGACAGGTTCTTCCAGTCATATACCTCTGTGTCAAGCCCCATGTGATGGGAGTGGGACTGTATCTGTGTCGGCCTACAGCGAGCGCCCCACTCTGCCCCCGTACCCCAAGCGCTCGCCATGGCCGGCGGCAGACACAGTGATTGGAGGCTCAGGGGCAGGTGTTAGTGTGTCCTGGGTTTAAATCCTAGCCTTCCCAATTACCAGCTCCCTGGCCCTGGGAAGGCATTTAACCTCTCTGAGCATAGGCTCCTCCGTGGGTAAAGCAGGCTCATCACATAGCTCCCCGCTGGGGCTGTGGGGAGAATCCAGCCAAGGAAGAGCTGAATAAGATCTCAGGGTCTATAAACATTCCCAGCGCAGGGACCCAGGATGTCTCTCTCCTCTGCCTCTGTGAAGCTATTCATCTCCCGATTTGGGATGTCTCTTACCTGTAAGAAATGTTCTTTTGACTGACAAAAAAACCAAAGCCTCTTGCCTTTGCCTCGGAAGTCATTTTGAAATTCCTTAGCCTCAGCTTCAAGTGCAGTCACTGCACAGCTGTCGTGTGCCAGGCACTCCCACACACTCCCCTTCGTCTGAATCACACCTGTGCTGGGGCTCCCGGGAGGACATGGATAAAAACGTCCCCCTACCTGTGAGGCGCTCTAGGGCATCAAATCCGTGCTTCAGCGCTATCACGTCAAGGAATGAGATGGTGCCATCTTCAAACCTGTAACCGGGGTGAGGGGACAAGGTCAAGCTCTGGTCCACGGCTCCATGTGCATTTTGTGGTAGTTGATGATTCTAGGCTCAGCTGTCATCTATAACCCCTTCTCTCTGCTGCTTTATAAAACATTGCTCTCCCCCTCGGGACACAGGGCTTTGCACACCAAGACCATCGGTCTGCTCTGTCCCTGACCCACTCTGCAGCTTTCTCAGGGTGGCTGGCAGCGGTGACAAAAGGCCCTAAAGGACAGCCACCGCCTTGGAGATGCTTTGCTGTTCCCAGGAAAACCGGACTTGACAAAACCTCAAGTGCTGTAGGCTCTTAAAATGCTGCACTTGACCCCAAGAGGGCACCACTGACCAGGCATCAATTCCATGTGACCAATGGTGCTGCTTGGGATTCTTCACAAGAGCCTGCGATTCCAAGGTCTACAGAATCACAGGCTCTGGTAAAAATTATGAGGCTCTTGCCCAGCTGGTGTGGCTCGGTGGTTGAGTGTCGACCCATGCACCAAGAGGTCACCGGCTCGATTCACGGGCAGGGCACATGCCCAGGTTGTGGGCCTGATCTCCAGTGAGGGGCATGCAGGAGGCGGCCAATCGATGTTCTCTCTCATCGATGTTTCTATCTCTCTCCCTCTTCCTTCCTCTCTCTCTAAAATCAACACAGAAAAAAAAATTATGAGGCTCTCAATATAGCGGATATACCTTTTTCTGATTATCAAGGTGTTCAAATTGGTATTTTATAATTATTCACTGAGTCAAAATACTCACCAAGTCTGTATAGTTCTGTGTGCTGGGCACTGTTCCAGGTGCTAAGGATGAGGCAGTGAGCATGACAGGTAAGAAGCCCTGCACTTCCAGTCACAGAGACAAGGAACCACAAGCAGCAAACACACAGAGACAAGCGGAGTGAGCAACAAGCAAGGTGGTGACAAGTGCAACGAAGATGCATAAACCAGAGGGCTGGAGGCCGCTTTGGACAAGATGGTCAGGGGAGGTCCTCTCTGAGGGAGATCATTTGAGCAGGGACAGAGTGGAAGTAAGGGAGCAAGGAAAACCAAACCGCTCATTTTGAAACAGCTGAGTTCACAGTTTCAGAAGAACAGCATTCCAGGGAGAGAGTGTAGAAAACACCCTGAACATGGGGAGCCTGGCACAACCACCCGGGCAGCAAGGAGGTCCCTGGGGCCGGGAGGGAGCAGGCAAGGTGGAGAGTGGTAGGATATATACGGTCAGAGGAGTTCCACCCCGGATGACATAACAGGGGCTCCAGGGCTCTGAGCATGGAGGAGTGACAGGCTGGGATCCAGACTTTGACAAGACACCTCTGGCTGCTGCGGAAGCGATGGGGAAGCTGGGACACATCAAGGACGCTGTAGCAAGCATCAGGATGAAGGATGGTGGCAAACAGCAGCCTGATATGAGTTGAAGCTTTCAATGAGAATCTTATGTTTTGCCTTTTAATACTCTAAGGATAAGATTTGCTCAAAATATTGTTACTACAAATATTAGTTTCCTTATAAAACAAATGGTGCCCTGGCTTGTTGGCGTGTTGGTCCGTGGACCAGAGTCCAAGGTTTAGTTCCCACTAAGGGCACGTACCTCGGTTGCAGTTTGTCCCTGGCCCCAGTTGGGGTTGTGTGGGTGGCAGCCACTCGATGTGTCTCACTCACATCGATGTTTCTCTTTCTCTCTCCCTCCCACTGTCCCTCCTACTCTATCTGAAGATAAATGAAAAAAAAAAAAAAAAGTCCTCAGGTGAGGATAAAAATAAATAAATAATAAAAAAGACATCAAATAGCCTCCCAATATATTGATGCCAACTTCATCTTGGTGCTTCACCTATATTAGCTCTAAAGAATTGTATCCTTGCCCTGGCCGGTTTGGCTCAGCGGTTGGAGCGTCGGCCTGCAGTACAGAGAGACCCGGGTTTGGTTCCCGCTAAGGGCACGTACCTCGGTTGCAGTTAGTCCCCGGCCCTGGTTGGTCGTGCGGGTGGCAGCCACTCGATGTGTCCCTTCACATCGATGTTTCTCTCTCTCTCTCTTCCTCTCTCTCCCTCCCACTCTATCTGAACAAAAAATGGAAAAATATCCTCAGGTGAGGATAAAAATAAATAAATAAATAAATAAATAAAAATAAAGAATTGTATCCTTTTAGAGATCCACTTTTTTTTTAATCCTTACCTGAGGACATGCTTGTTGATTTTAGAGAGAGGAAGGGAGAGAGAGAGAAACATCAGTGTGAGAGAGAGACATCAATCAATGCCTTCCTATATGCGCCCTGACCAGGGATCAAACCCACAACCTAGGTATGGCCCTGGCCGGAACCAAACCCGCAACCTTTCAGTGTACCAGATGACGCTCCAATCAACTGAGCCACAGCGACCAGGGCTAGAGACCCACTTGATAGGAAAAACAGGATGTGCATAGATCAAGCCACATGCCCCTGTTCCCAGGATTCGTTTCCCAGCGAACCAGCTCTGGGGCCTAAATACTCGACCAATAACTCTACTGCCAAAGCCACAGTCATCTCTGCAGGACCCTCAAGTCTGTAGGGGATCTGACCCATCTTCGAATCCAAGCCCCAGGCCTTCTCAGACACCAACAGGGTGACCCAACCTGTTCCAACCCCATGGTATCCCCTCCTGTTGGGACCAGCAGAATCCTGAGTCTGGTACCATTTCGCCCTCTCACATGTTAGACCTTATAGGTCCCAGCCATCGCCGTCGGGGAAATTCCTGAATATAACCCACATCATCTGCCCTGCAGCCTGAGGAGACTATGTCAACAAACCCACCAGAGGCCTGTGCCGTTTGCAGCCAGGTAGCTGCCTGCCCTCAAATGTCCTCTGTAACACACAGCAGGGCTCTCGGAGGCTGCTGATAAAAGTGCCCCACGAGCCTGGTGACCTCTGGTTTAACTGATTCCTCTTACTAGCTAGGGCCAAGCGGAGCTGATTCTAGCTACTAAAAACCAGCTATGCTGCCAAGTGCATGCACGCTTGTTCAAAATCTTTTCAATCACTGCTGTGATTGACACCTCTTGCCACACTCTATGCAAAGGCCGGGGGCCCACCCTTCTTATTCTCTTGAGATCCTTTCACCTCTTCTGCTTGTAGCCCTTACCTGCAGGCCCTCATCCCTGCACCACTGTGAAAGAGCCCACCTACAGGAGCAGAGTTCACTGAGCAGCCCACCTCTGCCTCCCAGAGCTAAGCCATGCCACCAGCCTCTGTCCTGCCGGTAATGGCCAACTCCCCTGACCCCCAGTGGCCCAGCCTTGACCCATGCACAGTCCTGCATGTTGCACAGGCCAGACCCCAGAGTTGTTGAACTCTGCCCAAGCCACTCCCATGGCAAGGTTACCTGTCTGCCACTGACTGTCTCGGGATATAGAAGTCTTCTCCTACGAGGTATGAGGCCGCCGTGCCTCCTCCAAAGTAGGTTTTCCTCAGCAGAGGACTCATACGATTATGCACCAGCAGAGCACCCAGGCCCGTGGGGAAGCCGAAGATCTTATAGAAGGAGAGGGGGATGAAATCAGCCTGGTGAACCGACAGGTCCAAAGGTGAGGTGCTCACGTAGCAGGCTGCGTCCAGCAGCACGAACCACTGCCCAGGCACGCTCACAGGGCACGCCTGCCCGGACTGGACTTCTCGAATCCAGGACAGAGGGTATCTGGTTCCAGAAAAGTTACTCTGAGCTGGGTAACAGAAGAGATGCGGAAGCTGGCAATCGGGGTTCCGGGCAGCAGCACCCTGTTTCTCCGCCAACCACATATCCTCTGGACTGACGGAGACAGAAGTGATGTTCATGGCTGCGGCGACCGTCCTCATGCCCACCACGGAGGTGTGGCTGTCGGTGAGGTAACAGAACAGACTCCCGCTGCTCTCTGGGCCCGGGGACACCCACGGGAAGACCTCTGCTACCAGTTTAAGAGCAGCCGTGCACCCGGCTGTGAAAATCACGCTGTAGTCGTCTGGGGAGGTGTGGAAGTGCGCCAGAATCCTGGAAGAAGCACAGCATTGTGGCAACGACTCGGTGTCACTCCGGTGTTCAGTGTTGGCAATTAGTTGCATTTCTACAAAATAGGACATCTCTCTACCTTAATAGTTAGGGGGGAAAACCCATATGGGCTCTGCCATCACTGTGAAGTTAGGCAGGTACAGAGCAGGTGTGGGAAGAGATGACAAATGGATTCAAACTGACAAAATCACTTTGCCTGCCAAGTCCCCACCCCCACCAGATAATACAGAAATTTACAACCACCAGCACCTTAGTTGCAAACACCCGCCTTGGTCTACTATCTGGCTCTATTGTAACAAGTTTTTAGTCATCAACTTGTTTCACCTTGCTTTTCATATTGGCAATCCAGTATCCCTTTCGAATTGGAAATAATTTGAAATTGTATCAATTCAAGTAACTCTAGATACCACTTGGAAATTGTTTACCAAAAACTAATTATTACATGTGGAAAAATGCAAAAAGCTGTTTAGCATGCAAATGTTAGTAAAAACGGGAGGGGTGAATAAAACAAGATGCTTAATGAAACATGAAAAGAAAACCCAGCCCTGGCCGGTTTGGCTCAGCGGTTAGAGCGTCGGCCAGCAGACCAGAGAGTCCCGGGTTCAGTTCCTGCTAAGGGCATGTACCTCAGTTGCAGTTCGTCCCCGGCCTCTTGCAACCAGTCGATGTGTCTCTCTCACATCAATGTTTCTCTCTCTCTCCCTCTCTCCCTCCCGCTCTATCTGAAGATAAATGCAAAAATGTCCTCAGGTGAGGATAAAAAAAAAGAGAGAGAGAGAAAAGAAAACCCAGAGAAACTGCTTGTCTTCTCTCTTAACACAAGACTTAGGATCTAGGTTCTTCCTTATCACTCCGGTCCCCAGGAACTACAGCACCAGCCCAGAGCAGCTCACAGCGGTGCACACCTGAGCTGCCTGCCTGTGCTGCTGGTCGCCCTGCTGGGCACCTACTCACTCTCACCTTCACGTCCCCTGACCCTGATCTTTATGACTGTATGTGTGTGGCCATTTAACTAAGTGTGATCTTTCTGAAATCAATTCAGAACCTTTGCAGGATGTGGGCAGGTGGCAGGAAGTCCATACACCTGGGAGTGTCCCTGCCACTCACCTGTAGCGCACCTGCTCCACGGTGTCGTGGGTGAGCTTGCTGCTGATGTTCTGGCTGTGGGGGTTACCTGGCAGGTTACAAAGACAAAGCCATCAAGTCACTCACTACTTATCAAGTCTCTCCTTTTCTGTTCCTCCCAAACCCTCTCCCTTAGTTTCTCAGAAAGTTAAGCATAAAACTCTCAGATGACCCAGAGATTCCACTATTATATACTCAAGAGAAAAGGAAACATGTCCACACAAAGATGCATGCACATGAGTGTTCATGGCAGCTCTATTCGTAAAGCTAAATTCTGGGAACATAAATGTCCATCAACCAGTGAACAGATAGATAAAATGTAACAAGTCCATTCAATGGAAAATTATTTGACAATAAAAAGGGACAAACTACTGGCTATGTTATGCATGAACCTCAAAAGCATGCTAAGTGAAAGATGCCAAACACAGAAATCACCTACTGCACGATTCCATTTATATAAAATGTCCAGCAAAGGCAACCGTAAAGAGATACAGAAAGTAGTAGATTAGTGGTTGCCTGGGGCAAGGGTGAGGGGGTCGAGAGGGCAGGTTGAGGGGTTAGGGAAGCAACAGAGATCAACTGTGAATGGGCATCAGAGATATTACGGGAGGAATGAAAATATTCTAAATGATTTATAGTGATGCTGAAAAGCATTGAATTGTATACTTGAAATAGGTGAATTTTATGGATGTAAAATATAACTCAAGAAAGCTGTTCAACAAACAAAGCTGGTAGAACAAGACAGGATCTAGGAAGCCTTATGGAACTGGAAGTCGGTTCAGAGGCAGCCAGGCCAAAGCAAGAAACTTTTCTACAATTTTCCCAACAGGCGTCCAGGTAATGAACACATTACCTCTAGCGAGCCAAGTCCACAACCTCAGGAGGCTTCCCTTTCCCCTAAACATGACACAGAGCCACGAGCACCACATAACCCAGGTCCCCATCTGTTCCCCTGTGCTCACACGCCTGCTACTGACACTTTCTGTGAAAATGCATATGCTTCCTACCACAAATGTGTGAAGGGCCATCATGACTCCCGTAGCTGCCCGTTCCCAAGGCTAACGGCTCTCCCAACTGCACCTTTCCTGGGTCGATTTCTAGTTTTTCTCCCTCTTCCTGGTGCACTCCCTGTGTGTGTCCCAGAGTATCAGTATCTCCCTCAAAACAGGCTCCAAGATGTGCACACAGACCGTTCAAGGACCTGACCCTAGTCATCAGCATTTCTCAGGAGCAGGAGCACTTGTGCGTGTTCAGGCAAATCTTGGGATTTTCTGTTCTAGGGTTTTGTTTTTGTTTTCTCAAACCACACTGGATGTTTGGTCTTTGAAGCAAAGACCTTTTCTATATCAGCCAGTAGCCTGTGGGATTGGAATTTACCCAGGTTGCCTTTCATCACCCTGGTTCTTAGCCCATATCATTAGGACCACCTGCAGTCTCAATTTCGTCATCTCTCAGGTCAGCACCTTTCCCACGATTATGACTCTTGCAAAGGTTCAGGAGAGACAATTGCAGATCTCTTTGAACATCATGGATTAAAGTCAAGATACAGTCCCTCATGGGCATCTTCCCGGGAGATGGTTCCCCAGAGTTAAATACCTGCTGGCTCCTGAGCCTCAGTGTGGCAGGACAGGACTGTCATGAACTGAGGCCGTCCACCGGAGGCGAAGGGCTTGCACTCCGGAGCCAAGCTGCCTAGAGCCTCTGCTCCCCACTGTGCCCAGCTCCGGCGCTTCTGACTGTGCGGCCTCAGAGTCATTGCCTGTCCTCCCTGGGGCCCTGTCCTCACGTGGACAACAGGAGTGATCGCAGAACCTGTGCCTTAGCTGGTCCTGAGGACAGAGATAACACAGATGGAGCACTTGGAACAGGGCCTGAAGCACAATGAGTGCTCAGTACAGGTCATTATTCTTATATATTGCTATTATCATTATCACCATTACATCTGCTACTACTGTTATTTCAAACTTCCTTTCCAAAGTTATCTCCTGACTTCTGGTCAAGATGGCAGCTTAGGTAAATGCAGTATCACCTTCTCCCACAACCACACCAAAGTTACAGCTAAACTACAGAATAACCATCATTAAAAAAAACGCCTAAAACTGAGCTGAATGGTAGTCCTACAGATATGAAATTAAAGAAGAAGCCACATGGAAACAGGTAGGAAGGGGCGTAGGTGAGGACTTGCTGGTCCCACACCCACATGAAGAGGATAAAAATCAGGAGCGATACCTTGGCTTTGAAAGTCTCCCCTGAGGAGTGAGGGGTCCCTGTCCCACAACAGGCCCCCAGCTCAGGGTTCCAGTGCCAGGAAGAGAATCCCCATAACTTCTGGCTGTAAAACCAGTTGAACTGAGGCTGAGGGAGGCTGAGGCTGGAGCTCCAGGCAGCTCCTCTTAAAGGGCCCGTGAACGAGCTTACTCAGGCTCCCACCTTCCAGGCTCCAGTGTGGGGGAGGCAACTTGAAAGGCACCAGAGACATACAGGGAAGAACTGAGTTGTTTGGCATTGAAGCAACAGCTGTAGGGTGGCTTTCTCCCAAACAGGCGTGCTGCCAGAGGCCGTTGTTCCTTTGGTGAACCCTTCCCACATGGGGCAGGCTGACAGCCACAATATCTGGGATTCCAGCAGCCTGGCTGATACTGTTTGCTCCACCCTGGTGATTTCCTGAGGCCCTGCCCCACCCAACTTTCGGGCCCACCCAAGCTGTTTCCAGTGGCTTTACCATAGAGGAATGGCCTATCTTGGCTTCTATTTCAGATTTTCCTAAATTCTCTCAAAAAAGCAGCATGTGGCCTCAGCAAGCCCCACACCTCTCACTAAATAGACTCAGGCCCAACATTAGGAGCTACCAGCCTTTATTCACGGTGTGGCTTTTCCTGGGCACCTACAAGACCAGCACAAGAAGCAGCCCTCTGCAGATCGCTTTGTAGCTGATGCCTGGTGGCCCCAGGTAGAGCACCGGCAGTGGATGACCTTGCCCCAGAGACAGCACACTCAGTGTTTAGCTCCAGACCACGTATAAGCATCACCACCCAACCACCTCAACAAGCAAGACATTCAAGGAGTGGATTCAGTGGGTACCAGACATTCAAGGAGTGGATTCCCCTGCTAAAGTAAGTCTTGCTCTGTCTGGTGGGCCCCGCACCATTGATCCTCCAAGGTAGTCAGAGGTCAGTGGTCAGTGGGCACAGCCAGTCCTTGCAGCTGATCAGCCTGAGTAAATCCCTCCCACTGACTTGCCAACAGCAATCTAGATTCAATTACAACAGAAGGGTGTACAGTCTACACCAGGGGTGCACCTTGAGGGCGCAGATAGGGTGATCAGGGAGGCTGTGCCACTAGACCCAACAGGACACCTACTACAATAGGCCACCCTAGGAAGACTAGGAGACATAGCAACTCTACCTAATACATAGAAACAAACACAAGGAGGCATCCTAAATGAGGAGACAAAGAAATATGTGCCAAATGAAAGAACAGAACAAAACTCCAGGAAAAGAACTAAATGAAACAGAGATAAATAATCTAACAGATGCAGAGTTCAAAACACTGCTTATAAGCATGCTCAGTGAACTTAGTGAGGGTCTCAAGAGCATATAAAAGGACCAGTCAGAAAAGAAGGATGCACTAACTGAAATAAAGACTAATTTGCAGGGGATCAATAGTAGAGTAGGTAAATCCAAGAGGCAAACAATCGATTTGGAATATAAGGAAGCAAAAACACCCAATCAGCACAAAGAATCCAAAAAAATGAGGATAGTGTAAGGAGCCTCTGGGACAACTTCAGCCATACCAACATTTGCATCATGGGGCTGACAGAGGAGAAGAGAGAAAGCAAGAAATTGAAAACCTATTTGAAACAATAATGACAGAAAACTTCCCTAACTTGGTGAAGGAAACAGACATACAAGTCCAGGAAGAACAGAGAGTCCCAAACAAGATGGACCCCAAGAGGCCCACACCAAGACACATCATCATCAAAATGCCAAAGGTTAAAGACAAAGAGAGAATCTTAAAAGCAGCAAGAGAAAAACAGTTGGTTACCTACAAGGGAGCTCCCATAGACTGTTGGCCGATTTCTCAAAAGAAACTTTGTAGGCCAGAAGGGAGTGACAAGAGATATTCAAAGTGATGAAAAGCAATAACCTACAACCAAGATTACTCTACCTTGCAAAGCTATCATTTAGAATGATGGACATAAAAAGAGTTTCCCAGATAAGAAAAAGGAGTTCATCACCACCAAACCAGTGTTATATGAATTGTTGATGTGTCTTCTCGAAGAACAAAAATATGAACAATAAAATGTCAATAAATACATATCTATCAACAATTGAATCTACAAACAAAATGAACAAGCAGAACAAAAGCATTCTCATAGATAAAGAGAACATTTTGTTGGTTGCCAGATGGGAGGTGGTTGGGGGAATGGGTGAAAAAGGTGAAGGGATTAAGAAGTACAAATTGGTTGTTAGACTGAGGAACCTCAAAGAGAAGGTGAGGAGGAGGGTGGGAAGAGATAAATCTAACAACTTACATGCATATATGCATAACCAATGGTCACAGACAACAGTGTGGAGAAGACAGGAGGGGGGAAGGAGTGGGAAGGAAGGGGTCAATAGGAGAAAAAGGAGGGACATCTGTAATACATTCAAAGGTAAAGATAAGTTTAAAAAATAATAATACAAATTAATAGAATGGGAATAAAAAGTTATCTCCTTACTGCTGATTAATTTTGTCAGTGACTGTCATTGTGTCTAGAATAAAGATTAAACTCACAGAGCACCTGTAAGGTACCTACCTACCTCCCCATTTATGCCTCCATTGCTCCACTCACCTCTCTCTGTGTTCCAGGGTTGGTTCTTGAAACCACTGCAGGGTCTTGGCTCTTGCTGTTCCCTCTGCCTAAAGGGCCCTTCTCCTGACTCTTGTCTGAGTGAATTCCTGCTCATCCTCCAGCATCAAGCCCATTCCTGAGGAAATTTCCCTCATGCTCAAACTACCAACCCACCGTCACTCTGCAGATCCAGACCCCCATGGCACCGGAGGCCTTTCGTACACAGCCCTTCACACCGTTGGTAGTTTACATTTATCTGGAGATCACTGGATTAAGGTCTTGCCTTAACTAGACCAGAGACCATGAAGACAGGGATGGATTACTTTGTTCCCATTTTCACCATGGCCTCAACCCAAGAGTGCCTGACAAATATTTATGAAGTGAATGAATGAATGTTCCTCCTCTTGTCCCACTTTCTGCACAGTACCAGTCCCACAGGGTCATCACACCACCAAATACAGCACCTTGTGCCTCTGTGCTTTTTTTGACGCTGACCCCTTCCTGTGGAATTAACATACGTGTCTCTGAGCTAGTTCTCCTGTCCTAGCAGCATGGGTGTTAGAGGGAATGACACGTGTTTGCCCGATCCATCTTTATTGTGCTTATTCAGCTTTGTGTGCTCAGCTCCATCCTAGTCTATTAACCCAACATTTTAAAGCAGAGATATATCAACTGAATGCAGCTGGCTAATGTCCAGTGCAAAAAATAAGTTATGGTGTGTTTTTCTTTACCATAAACATTTTCCATGAGATCATGAGTGAAGCTTGTGAGCTGGGTCTGGGGGAACAGTGTGGCTCCTGCGTGGTCAAGATAGACAGTTCCTGAAAGAAAGCACAAAATAAAGCTGTGGTTATTTTTCAGAGTTTTTTGCACTCATTTTACCCAGATCGGGTTTGTGTGAGTGTAAGCAGTGCACATTGGATGCGTTTGGATATAACATCAAACCTCTCCTATCTCCCAGCCTCTCAATATGTGCTTCTTAATCCCAGTGTAGACATGAGCAATAGAAGAACTGCACTGTCAATATTTAAGGACCTTTAGAGCCCTGAGAGAGCCTTCCTGATTAACCAGCATTCTTAGGAACCTGGACGAGCATCTCACATGGAGGAGGAGCCCAACAGATGGCTGTGGTTAAAGACTGTAAAGCTAGTTTACCTTATGACTCACACCCTCTCCTGGAGTTTCTGTGCAGCTTCTCTGGCCCACAAGCCCTAATTATCCTTTCCCATAGTGAATTCCACATCCCTCTGAAGCTTTGAGAGCTTCAGAGAATACTAGGAATTTAAATCACCTTTGTGTGCTCTCTCTCACGAACAGAGAAAGGTGCATTTTTTTTCTTTTTAAAATTATCTTTATTGTTGAATGTATTACAGATGTCCCTCCCTTTTTCCCCCATTGACACCCTCCTTCCACCCCACCCCCTGCCTTCCCCACACTACTGTCTGTGTCCATTGGTTATGCATATAAGCATGTAAGTTCTTTGGTTTATCTCTTCCCACCCTCCTCCCCACCTTCCCTTTGAGGTTTATCAGTCTGACAACCAATTCGTGCTTCTTTTTTTTTTTTCTTCATTGATTTTAGACAGAGAGGAAGGGAGAAGAAGAGAGAGATAGAAATATTGATGAGAGAAAATATCAGCTGGCCATCTCTTGCACGCCCCCCACTGGGGATCAGGCCTGCAACCTGGGCATGTGCCCTGACCAGAAATCACACCGGTGACCTCTTGGTGCATGGGTCAATGCTCAACTACTGAGCCACACTGGCTGGGCCAATTTATGCGTCCTAATCCCTTCACCTTTTTCACCTATTCCCCCAACCACCTCCCATCTGGCAACCAACAGAAAGTTCTCTGTATCTATGAGTCTGTTTCTGTTCTGCTTGTTCACTTTGTAGATTCAATTGTTGATAGATATGTATTTATTGACATGTTATCGTTCATATTGTGTTCTTCAAGAAGATATGTCAACAATTCATATAACACTGGTTTGGTGGTGATGAACTCCTCTAGCTTTTTCTTATCTGAGAAACTCTTTTTATGTCCATCATTCTAAATGATAGCTTTGCAAGGTAGAGTAATCTTGGTTGTAGGTTATTGCTTTTCATCACTTTGAATATCTCTTGTCACTCCCTTCTGGCCTACAAAGTTTCTTTTGAGAAATCGGCTAACAGTTTTATGGGAGCTCCCTTGTAGGTAACCAACTGCTTTTCTCTTGCTGCTTTTAAGATTCTCTCTTTGTCTTTAACCTTTGGCATTTTGATGATGATGTGTCTTGGTGTGGGCCTCTTGGGGTCCATCTTGTTTGGGACTCTCTGTTCTTCTTGGACTTGTATGTCTGTTTCCTTCACCAAGTTAGGGAAGTTTTCTGTCATTATTGTTTCAAATAGGTTTTCAATTTCTTGCTTTCTCTCTTCTCCTCTGTCAGCCCCATGATGCAAATGTTGGTATGGCTGAAGTTGTCCCAGAGGCTCCTTACACTATCCTCATTTTTTTGGATTCTTTGTGCTGATTGGGTGTTTTTGCTTCCTTATATTCCAAATTGATTGCCTCTTGGATTTACCTACTCTACTATTGATTCCCTATAAATTTTTCTTTTCTTTTTTTTTCTAATCCTCACCTGTGGATATTTTTTTTTTAATTTTTGTTCAGATAGAATGGGACGGAGAGCGAGAGAAACATCGACATAAGTGGGACACATTGGTTGCCTTCCACATGACCCCAATCAGGGCCAGGAATGAACTACAACTGAGGTACTTGTCCTTGACCAAATTCAAACCCACAACTCATTGGTCCATGGGCCAATGCTCTAACTGCTGAGCCAAACCAGCCAGGCTGTGAATTATTTTTTATTTCAGTTAGTGCATCCTTCATTTCTAACTATGTATCCTTCATTTTTGACCGGTCCTTTTATATGCTCTTGAGACCCTCACTAAGTTCATTGAGCATGCTTATAAGTAGTGTTTTGAACTCTGCATCTGTTAGATTATTTATCTCTGTTTCATTTAGTTCTTTTCCTGGAGTTTTGTTCTGTTCTCTCATTTGGTACATGTTTCTTTGTCTCCTCATTTTGGCTGCCTCCTTGTGTTTGTTTCTATGTATTAGGTAGAGTTGCTATGTCTCCTGGCTTCCTAGGGTGGCCTATTGTAGTAGGTATCCTGTTGGGTCCAGTGGCACAGCCTCCCTGATCACCCCATCTGTGCTCTCAAGGTGCACCCCTCGTGTAGACTGTACACCCTTCTGTTGTAATTGAATCTGGATTGCTGTTGGCAAGTCAGTGGGAGGAATTTACTCAGGCTGATCAGCTGCAAGGACTGGCTGTGCCCACTGACCACTGACCTCTGACTAACTTGGAGGATCAGTGGTGCGGGGCTCAGCACACAGAGCAAGACTTACTTTAGCAGGGCTCTGGTACTCACCGAGTTCATTACTTGAGTGCGTTGCTTGTGGAGGTGTTGGGTTGTGGTGCTTCAACATGGTGTGAAACTGTCCACTGGGTGTGCTGGCTCTGGGGCAAGGTCAGCTACTGCCTGTGCTCTACCTGGGGCCACCAGGCATCAGCTACAAAGTGATCTGCAGAGGGCTGCTTCTTGTACTGGACTTGGAGTTTGCCCAGGCAAAGCCAAGCTGTGAACCAAGGCTGGCTACTTCTAGTGCTGGACCTGGGGCCACTTTGCAAGCAGTATGGGGCTTACTGAGGTCAGATGCTTTTTTTTTTTTTTTTTGAGAGAGAGAATTTAGGAAAATCTGAAGCAGGAGGCAAGACAGGCCAATCCTATGGTAAAGCCACTGGATACAGCTTGGGTGAGCCTAAAATTTGGGTGGGGCAGGGCCTCAGGAAATCACCAGGGTGGAGCAAACAGTGTAAGCCAGGTTGCTGGAGTCCCAGATATGATGGCTGCCTGCCTGTCCCGTGGGGGAAGGGCTCACCAAAGGAACAAAGGCCTCTGGCAGCAGGCTTCTCTGGGAGAAAGCTGTCTCTCCAGCTCTTTCTGCGAAGCCAAACAACTCAGTTCTTCCCAGTATGTCTCTGGTGCCTTTCAAGCTGCCTCTCCTGGGCTGGAGCCCAGAGGGAGAAAGTCTGAGTAAGTCCATGCTTGGGCCCTTTAAGAGGAACTGTCTGGGGCTCCAGCCTCAGCCTTCCTCAGCTTCAGTTCCAACTGGTTTTTACAGCCAGAAGTTATGGGTATTCTCTTCCTGACACTGGAACCCTAAGCTGGGGGGCCTGTTGTGGAGCAGGGACCCCTCAGTCCTCAGGGAGGACATTCACAACTGAGGTATCGCTCCTGATTTTTATCCTCCACACCTGGGTGTGGGACCAACCTGTCTGTCTCTCCACCTCTCCTACCAGTCTCAATGTGGCTTCTTTAATTTTGTAGTTGTAGGACTCAATTTCAGGCAGTTCTGAATGATGGTTGTTCTGTAATTTAGTTGTAATTTTGATGTGGTTGTGGGAGGAGGTGAGACTGCATCTACCTACGCTGCCATCTTGACTTGAAGTCTGAGATAGGCACATTTAGATAAGAATAAGACATCAAGGTTTACCCATCAGATGGCCAAGATCAGAAGGTTGGATAATTCACTGAGTGGGTGAGGGTATGGGGAAACAGATCCTCTGGTACATGGCTGGTAGGAAGGCAAATTGGTACGACTTCTTTATGGAGAGCAGTTTGCCAGTATTGATAACACTTTAAAATGCAAATTCTTACCCTGGCTGGTTTGGTTCAGTGGTTAGAGCCTTGGCCCGCAGACCAGAGAGTCCGGATTCGGTTCCCGCTAAGGGCATGTACCTCAGTTGCAGTTTGTCCCCAGTCCCGGTTGAGGTCGTGTGGTTGGCAACCACTCGATGTCTCTCACTCACATCGATGTTTCTCTCTCTCTCTTCCTCCTTCTCTCCCTCCCGCTCTATCTGAAGATAGATGCAAAAATGTCCTAGGGTGAGGATAAAAAAAATAATAAAATAAAATAAATAATTTAAATGCAAACTCTCTTTAACCTAGCAATTATTCTTCTAGAAACTGATCTTACAAGTAACGGTGCTTTTATGAAATGGCCTATTTGGATATTCAATGCACTATTGTCTGCCATAGCCAAAGATCAGAAATGACTTAAATGTTCACCACGTATTTAAAATAAAGAATTATTGTACATCAGTATATTAAAAGTACTGATATGGAACAAACTCTGAAATACATTTTCAAGAATATACACTATAAATAGATTCATTCATTCTTTCATTCACTTAATAGTTTTTGCTGTGTGATGGATGGTTTGGGTTGTTTTATAATAGCTTCATTGAAATATAGTTCATGTACCATAAAATTCACCCTTTTAAACAATTTAATGGTTTTAGTATATTCATAAAGTTGTACAAGCATCACCACTAATTTTAGAATATTTTCATTCATCCCAAAAAGAGACCCCATATATGATACCAATCATTCCCCATCCACCAGTACCGCCCTGGCAACCACTAATCTACTTTCTGTCTCCATATTCATCTATTCTGAACATTTCATATAAATGGGATTATACAATATGTTGCCTTTTGTGTCTGGCTTCTTTCACTTTGCATAATATTTTCCAGGTATATCCATATTGTAGCCTGTATCAGTACTTAATTCCTTTATAGGACTGAAGAGTATCCCCTTGTATGAATCTACCATATTCTGTTTATCCATTCATCTGCTGATGAACATTTGGGTTGTTTTCACTTTTTTCTCTATTATAAATAATGCTGCTATGAATATTTGTGCACAACTTTTCCCATTCAGTGGGTTGTTCTTCATTTTCTTGATAGTATCCATTGAAGCATTAAAGTTTTAA